AGAAACTTGAAGTAGCATCCAGACGTAACTTGCTTATAGGACTAGCGACAACCTATGAGGAATAAAAGGATGACGAGTTTTCCTTGTTAGGCCGAAAATCACAGGGTTCGGTCCCTGAACGGTTAGAAGTAAACACTATTTAATTCGACAGCAGATATGAGTGAGGAGGAATCTTGATTTGAGCAGGATTACTGAATATTAGCTGTAGGAGCGAAAATTAATATGATCAGTAATGGAAACTATTTTCGAATCTCTAACTCGTCATAGTCTCCCTTCAGTGCTCGACTCGATTAACCGAGTCTCAATACTAGCTTTTTGTGCATCCACGCTAAAGTTGTGTTTACTCTACCGCCTGGAAAGAACGTTAGCAACATTGTTCATGACCCTGTTTTATGCCTTGGGTGTGGTGTCCAGCCAAGTTTCTTTAAAAAATCAGTTGAGCTGGAAGCACTTCAATCCAAATTCTATTTCTCAGAAACGATTTTTAACATTTTTTTAAAATTTAACACATTGTTATGAAATAAACAATTGGTGCGCACCGACCAAGCCTAACTACAGGACGGAAATGGACTTTTTCGGACTTGGCACAAGCCTGTTGATGCAGCGGTGACAACGTTGCCGGAAGCCCGACTCGGGTGTGCAGTCATTCCAGTACCCCTGTCCCTGTCAGGAAGGCTCCTTGACAGTTTTTTTACCCTTGTTTTAGAAAGCAGAATGTAGTAGGGGGGCAGTGTAATTGTTGTCAGGTCAAGCGGCAAATGTAAAGTTTCGATCACATATATTACTCATAGCAGACCAATGCATTTATTTTGAAGGCCCTATGATCAAACAGAAAAGAGTCATGCCGTTAGTTTCGTAGTGCAGTCGATAAACTGGCCGAAGTTTTGTTAAGTACGCAACCGACGTGGGGCTTAGAAGTAGCCATTAGGTTCAAAACCGTGCACCAACTTACCCATAACCATTGTGGCAATCGAGAGGATGACGCCCATACAGCCCTCGAAAAGTGCAATCAGAGACAACCGTTCCGAGGCCATCGAGGACTGGACGGTCGCGGTAGCAGTTGGCAACCGGGCCTGCATCACTGACATCCTTCGGGGATGGAGGCCACTCGTAGAGTCCAGCAATGAGCCTCTCGCAGAGAGTCTCTTCTCACAGCTCACGGCCCTGCTTTGAGTCAGATCAGTAATACAGACATAAAGCTAGAAAAAGAGAAATAAGCCCAGTTAAGTATGAGTCTTTTTATGTGGATACTACACTGTATCTATCAAAGAAATGTCGACAGGGTCGAGGCAAGAAACGAACACATATCGTCCCTTTCTAGGAAGACCTACTTGCACTTGAAAAATGTCGGAACTCAACAACTTTTCTCTCCGACAAATAGGGCCATGGAATTCCGCGATATCGACCAGGAAAGTCTTGTCCGCTGCATATGTCTAGTACAGAAGGTCGAATGCAACAAGCATGAAAGTCGTCTTCACTTGGGTTGACAAGCTGGCGCGAAGGTGACCCAGGACCGCTACGGCGTAGCCCAAAACGGCAAGGTCACAAAAGGGCTTTCAGCAAACAACTGGCCTCAACGGCATCGGGCCTAAACAATAACTGGCGAAAATAGGCGACAGCAAACACGGGATTTTCAACCCGTTCAGAATTGCGGTTATTCGCCTTCCCTGCACTCGCCTGACCTTTTAAAAGTGCTTTAAAGACAAATGAGTCCACTTCACACACACACACATCTCCCCATTCAGACGTCCGCAGAAAGCGGCCTTCCCTGTGTCCATCGCATTGCCCTTTCGTAACAGCCTGAGGGTTAGTCACGAACGTCCGAGTGAGTCGTCCACCTCCTACTTGGTCATATCCCGTGTTCTCCGTGATCCCGATTTCCACGGCAAGAACTGGCAATCAGGGAGTCGCAGCTTTTGCGTGGCTGTCGCACTCTCATGACCATTTTTCAACCGGTGACGGAAGTTTACGTGGCGGTTGGCTTAAAGGTCCTTTGGCAGACACGTCTGTTGCAGATGGGTCCTCATCTAGGCTCACCGCTTTGATTGCAGCAAGGCCCACGTCGGACACCGTTTATGCGTTACCGGTTGATACGCCTACCTCCTGGTCTGCAATTTTTAACCCCTTTCTCGGATGAGGCAGCGATGAAAACTACAGTCGAGAGGTGTAGATGGGGACATAGGAGCTGGCGCCGAAGGTGCACAGTTTAGACTAGAAGTTCGCATGGCGATAGATAAATCCGTCTTGTGCTTGGTAGAAGATTAAATTTTGTGGTTCTTCCTTTAGATGGATTAATTCCTAAGATTATCTATCTAAGCAACAACGTTCGGTTAGGATTGGAGCCCTTGTGGTGGGCAGAAATGGAAACTGAATGCAGAATTTGTTAATTTGTTGTTGGATTAAAAAAGAAGGTTAAAATATATGCCTTAGGCAGTAGGCCGGTTAAGGCTTTTATAACTTTCCGAACTAGCGGCAGGTTTTACAGTTTATCGAAATAATAGACGTAGCATATCTTGAGTCACAATCGGTGCCAGTGTCGGAAAAAAAAACATTTTAATCAGCAAAATGCTCGGTCCTAGCCTAAATTCCGGACTTATGTTGGTAAACAGAGTCAGAACATCAACAATTTGCTACCCAGGTGCATTTAGTAAACTAAAAATTTGCTCGTTGTCGCGACTTAACTGCAATTAGAGGGTTCATATGTGGTAAATGCAGTCGCATTAATATAAATCCATCACCGGAAGTGTTTGACCAACATTGTAGGGGAACCCAGACGATTTGAAACAGAGGGTACGTGACGCACAAAAAAGTGTTTACTTTTGTTAGCAGAGAAATGGGGTTTCCGCCTTTCTGGACTTCCAAAGTCAGACAACTTAGTTTTTCACTGCGACTTAAAATTAAACGACCTTAAAGCTTGAAAAAAAAAAATAAGATGGACCTTATCATGGTGTTGGTGCCCACCTAAAGAACACTATCCCACCATTCCAAGTCCCATTGAATATCGACAGTTTGGAGATCGATTCGCTTCCTTTTTTAATTCGGTGAACTGCTCGCAATATATGTCAACAATTAATGCTGAAAAATACCAATCTCCGGTAGTCATTGACCATACACCATAGTCTAACCCCTTCTACAAGCAACAAAATCACTCGTTCATATAATCTTTGGAGTTGAACCACGGCACCTATTTCAGACCGTTTATGCGGCTTACATTTATTTTTTATCCTTTGTCGTAGCAGACTCATTTTTCGTCACTAATCATGAATGGATACAAAAATAGTGCCTTGGAAGAAATACTTCGCGCGTGCTCTTTCAATTAATTTATATGACACCCAAACGCCATGTTTTTGTACTATAGGTTTTAGATGTAAACGTTCAGTCATAGCGAACCCATCAACTCCTTATAATTCCTACATTCCTTTAATCACTTGATATGGGTCATGGTCGACTAGCGTTTCTAACCTCTCATTTTCAATTTATTCTGGCTATCTTGAACGTTCCTCATCTTTTATGTCGAAAATGATGCATTTACAGTCTTCAAACAGCTTCATTCGTGTTCTTTCAGAGATCGCATGTTCATCATGAGCTGCCCCAAGTAAAGAATTGCCTTCAGCTGTCGTTTGTTTAAATCGAAACAGAAAAGGCTTCAGTCGCATATCATATACAAAATATGACAGCCTTATTCAAGTGGAGTATAATACATCTGATGCTGTATATAGTTACCTGAGAGCGGTACCTGTTAAAATAGTTAAATCAAGAGGCTGCGAATTAAATATCCTCCCTAATATATTGGGCAGAACTGGCAGACTTGCATACGTTTACTTACATGGAAACCAAACCTCGACCATCTCGAAAATGTAGCCAATTAACACGCATGCTCTTTGTTGCCCTTTTGACTTTAAAATATAGCATATTCCTAACATTTTCTGGATGGAAAGATATTACAGGCTCCAAAAACTTGTAAGCAGGAGACCTGCTGGAACACTTTCTTATATAGTTCGTGTTTAAAAGCAGGCTAGTTGTCCGAAATATACGAGAGGATACCCTAGTTTCAGGTTATATATTCCCTCAGAAATTAACGACTCACTTAAAATTAATTGGGCAAGATCTCATTTCTTAGCCGTACCTGTTAGGGGTTCGGGTTAGGGGTTAGGGGGCAGAGATTAGGGGTTAGGGTCAGGAGTTAGTGGCTGGTATTAGAGGTGGGGGATAGCGGTTAGGGATAAAGGTTAGGAGTTGGGGCTAGGGGTTAGACTGGGACTTGTCTGCCGCAGTTACGGCTACAAAATGAGAACCGACCGTCAGTAGTATATACATGGGTTGCGTGGCATGTTATGCTTGAGAGCACAGGTACGAGTTAAAATCTCAGACACATATTCCGCCAACATTCTGCCGCTGCATGAAAGAGCTCATCAGTAGGTCCCCCACCTTTTATCTGGATGCTTTCTGGAAGGTACTTTAAGTTTGAAATTGTTAGTTGTTAATCTCCTCCAAGGTAGTGATTAATTTACGAAGAACTTAAAAACCAGCACCTTAAAAACTGGATCATCTACCATGAAGCACCGAGGGAAAGCTGCGGGACACAGTGATGAACCAAAACCCATGCGACTGTGCCAAGGGTTTCGGCGAAACACTTGTTAGGACCTATAGCTAGTATCTGTACTCTCAATTATGGCATATTGTGCAACCCATGCATATAGCCATATACAAATCGCAGATTATGTAATTTTACTTATATTAGGAGTAGATGAGTAGGAGGTATGTATGCATTAGTCGACGGAATTAACGATGAAAATGAAAGTTTGTTTATGCTACTTAAAAACCAAAAGCAAATTTCATAGGCGTGGAGCAATGAAAACGACGGCCGATATTGGTAGTAGAATGATCACCGTTGGTCGAAACCTACTCTATCACTGTTGAATCATACTGCCTACTTCAGGAGATCGTTAAATACAGCGGACCATCACATGATAATGTATGAAGAATAAGGAAAATTCTTTCTGGGACCTTGGGAAATTTACGAACATTCATGTACACGGGACATCTTTCTGTGCAGCACGAAGTACTCAGGTTTTGTCCAAAAGAGTAATCTTCACTGTCTGAAATTAACAACTTTCGAGAAGACTTATTTGGCAAAAACAATTCAAACAACTTGCCCTCATGTCTACAGAAAAGAGGGAGAAATAAGTAGTTTTTAAGCTGAAAACTCTTCAGATTGAATCGTTTTCGAACGTTATATGGTAGAAAGTGGAAAGCTCTGGCATATATTAATAAGCATGACAGTGAACGAGATGTCCTGCATTCTATTACTTGTCACTTAGCATTATTTTCTCCGCTTGAAAGCTCAAGCACCGGCCTCAAAATCCTTCCAGAAGATTTCACGCATAGTATCCTACTCTGCGCCCGAACAAGTGCCTTGCAGCCAGGCAGGGACTACCTTGTTGTTAGTACAAAGGGAACGTGTTGGAGAAGAATCCAATCATTCGCAACACAGTACAACCATTCGGTGCACTATGTCTTCAAAAAAGTTGTTTTCGCCGACAATTCACCCGAAATTTTACCCAATGATCCATTCAGGTGACCTATTTTAAAAGAAAGTCTAGGTGGACGGTCGCTCACCGGTTGTTTCGGTGGTTAGAGGTGTTGAACTTCTAAGTAACAGGTCACGTGAACGAGCCCCAGGTGCCCCTAGGCTGCGCCACGTCCGAGCTTACTAAATCTAACGAGCCTGAATTTACCACTATGCACAAAAATTCATGTCTTAGAAGATTACCAACTGACGGCGGAACTTGGTCCTCGTGATAAGCGCTGTGCGCATGTGGAGCGACCGGCTGGAGGACTAAAAGTCATGATGTAGTAGCCTTATCTGGTCTTCATGGCACTCTCCCCAATGAGAGATCCGGGTGGTCCTTACAGAAGCTTAGCACATTTGACGGAGGCCAAGTCGTGCGTGACAGGCGTGGACGAGCCGTTTATCTTTTTCAGCTCTTGTGCCGGCGCCCATCTCCGGTGATCCTGACACTGTTTTGCCTTTGGAGCCTGGTTGTTGAGGAGGACGAGAGCGCGGTATATGCCTCGCAGTGCGGTCTCATTGTAAAATAATTGGTCGCATGAGGTTATGTTCCCCCACCTGAAGCGAAAAAACCCCAGACACCTCTAATACAGGACCGGTGGTAAAAGGGGTTTAACAGGTGGAGCCGGGGAACGCACAGGCGACGAGGTCAAGTAGTTGTATGCAAAAGACAAACTTTTGAGTATGCGCGGTTGTACATTGAATTGGTAAGAAGTAATTGCGCTAATTCCTAACCCTAACCTTAACCCCCTAACTATAACCCCTAATCTTAAGCCCTATCCTTCAATCCTAACCCCTAACCAAAACCCTAAGCCATAACCCCTAACCCTAACCCTTAAACCCAAAAGTATTGTGTCCATCAGGCGGAGATAGCAAACCATAATTAACATGCAAATCAACGGTGCGGTGCCCACTCCGAAGGGCACGCGGCTGACTTCGTGTTCTGCGAGAGCCAAAGTGTTGATTTGTTGAAGGAAAGACTGTGTGACCACTGAAACACTCTGCGACCTGTTAATTCGCCCTTTCGGAATTGTGGTACAGAGTAGAATACCGACTTTAAGGGTTGACGGAAAATGTCAGGCAGATGATATGTCGATTACTTGAGGTTTAATTATCACAAGTCGATTTCTGGCAATGCAGATGGATGAAAACGACTGTGAACATCACTGCCCTTTATTTCGAGAAGGACAAACTGTAGCCTTAACTCGCAAATAAATGTTACATTGATGATTAGATGAGTTCGTTTTATATTTACTGAAAACATTTCGCTTGGCGAACCTTAGCTTGGAAGACGACCGTTTTATCATCAGCCGTCCCATGCGACATTCACGGGAACAAAATATGCAAACTGGCTGCTTACGGGATTTTTTGGATGTCTGTCGAAAATCAAAATACATGACAAGCAAGTGATTGTTTATAAAACCCAACTGCTCCACATTATCCAAGTTTGCGTAAAGCCAAGCGCTTTCTAACAGGGTCGTTGAAGTGAAGATTTCCGAAGGTAGTAACCAGTTTCCTTTTTTTCCCACGAGTTTACTAGGGCTTATTCTGTTAGCACATAGGATGACCTCGTTTTATATTTCTCCAAAGAGCATAAAATTTGTCAAAGCACTAGGAAAAAGGCGTTGCGTGAAAATCAACCAACTGTCTTGTCTGTTCAGTCATGAAGGACTAAAAGGGTCAAAATGCAATTTTTAATTTTCAAATACTAAGTCACCAGGAACAGCGTGACAATTTCCGCCCGACTGGGACTACAGGATGGTGACTGGGCAAAGTCCGCACCCAAGACATTTGCGGGACTGAATAAAGGGTTTTTTGCCATTGGGTTTTTCCTTCATAGTACTAGCCCCTGACTGAAATTCGGAAAGCAGCAATCGGGTGGAATTACGTAAGTAATAAAATGCCCTTCAGCTGACGAATTTGAATAATAATCGGCGCAGGAATGCTGGGCGTGGGAAACTGTTCTAAGAGAACTTAGTGAAGAGTGGTGACGTTGCGGCTAAAATGACATGCGCTAGTGTACGTCCAGGACACGACTCTGGAGGTTACACTCATATAAAATCCACAAAACTGGGCAACGTGGATAGACATGCAATTAAAAAGAGGGCCAACATCACCTCTCCAGGCCTTATTGTACGCGGCGTGAAGATGGACCAGGATTCCAAATGACTTCGCACACAATAGCTCTATGACTTTGGGCCGGGCATCTTTCCCAGCGACTGCGCAACGTACGCCCATCCTCAGGAAGCGCGACCTCATATGTTTCTTCCTTGATATTTCATGCCATTATACATTTAGTTGCCTTTCTTACAAAGGATGTACAATAATTCTTTTATTCCATGATCTTCAAATTCCATAGTAATGCAGTGTATGCAATTGCCCTAATGCATAGCAGTATCACTTGAAAAGTGCGCAAAGTCGTCCAAGATTTTATGAACAACAAGAGACTCCTCACCGAAACGTGAAAAGCTATGCAAAACTGTTATTACAGATAAATGCGGTTCGGAAACCATGTCGGTAAATAAAGCTGCAAGAAGTGATTAAAACATATAAAAATTAAACACATTTGTGGTTACAAAATGAGATGCCAAAAGATTTTCTAGCAAGCTGCGGTCAGCAGGCCGCCGCTGGTAGCAGATTTTCCCGATACAATTTACTGAATAAATCATCTCCTCTTTGGATCCATTTTGGTTTTCCATAGCGCTTTGTCTGTTGGCTGTGTGGAAATTATCACATTCCTTCGCTGCTTTACTAGACGGCATAAAATGACCGGGGTGAGATAATCACAGATTTAAAATAGTTTATGACAGTGAAGACGTTTTACGTAGACAGTTTCGATGGTAGTTAACGAGGTGCATGACAGACAAGGTTCACGCATGGTGCCATGCGCATTTTAGGGTTGACAAGTACGTGATCTGCTGCTACGCATGTCCTTCTTATTCGCAAATGGATGCATAAAGATGTGCAGTCCTCTTCTAAGGGTGGTATAAACAAAATATGTAGACGGAAGACGCCTTTACTGAAATTTTAGCAACGTCGGTTGTTTAACGTTATTGAAAACGTCGGCATTTTACAGCAGACGCCGAAAATAATAATACGTTGACCGGAATTTTATGATATCTTTCCTAATTGTGGGGATAGCTGAACTAAAGTTGCATGTTTGTAGGCTGCATAACCAAAATGAAAACGGTAGTCTCAAAAAATTCGCCTACCTACGAACCGCGCTTAAAACGGAAATAACCCTTCAGATTTCGCATTGGAGGAAAACGTAATTTTGCTCATTGTGAATGCGAGGAATGTAGCGTTTAAGCATTCTTCCTCGGAAACGTGATTGAACTTGAATAATTGATGCAAATAAATAGAAAATAATTATACATTAGATAGGGAATGATCGCCTCTCGAGTGGGATTGTTCAATGAAAGTGTGTGCGAGCAAAACCATCATTCAGCTGTGCCTGAAATGTCTCGGATTGATGATCCGTGTGGATTAAAACAGGCGTAGACAATATAACTCATGGCTAACAACAAATCTCGCGAAAGCTTATCAACAGAAACCCGTTGCTTTATAGCACAGGCAACGAATAAGAAACATACAACAACTCGGATTTTCCCACAAATCAGGACAAAACAACAAGCGCATCATTCAGTTAACACACAAATTGCATTTATGAATTCCCATGCGTTTGTCAATGCAAGCACATTGGCCGAACGCAAAGGCAACTGGCGGCCAGATCAGTTGAGCATCTGCCTAAATGACTTTTAAAACAGGAAAATAAAACTGCTCGTTCTTCTATCACGAAACACCTCTTAGATAACGGTCGCAACGTTGAGTATTTCTTCGGTCACGAAAAACTTGGACATTTTTCTAGTTGTTGGCAGCCTACCTACATCGGGAGAAATCCGACCTACGTAAGCAGTTAGACCAGGCGGTCAACGTCAGCTTACCTCGGTAATACCCAGTCCCTCGACTCACACACCTTTGCGTGCTACTTTTTTTCTTTTTCCTGCCTATATTGCATTGCTAACCTACCATTCTCATTAATTAGTCTGTGCACACTAGACCAAGACTTTGCTCTTTTGCCTAGGCGATCTGTGCGAATTCAGATTGACATATTATTCTTATATTTCCTTGCTTTCTTGTATTTCCTTGTATTGATGTATTTCCGCTATCCATGGTATGCTGAGACGAGTTGCAGTTAATAAACTGTCGCGAGGTTTGTTGATACCAGAGAATTCGGCTGTCTATGCCTGTTTAAATTTCCTATCGGGGAAGAAAGACTTCAAGTTGAAGTAATCTTGCTACCTAACATAGTTAGCTTTTTTTAATTTGGCCAGTATTTCATAATTTTTGACGTCCACTATATTATATGTTTATGTATCCGCACTCGCAGATGTCGGCTGGCTCCTCTGAAATTGTCGCCTTTCTTCCACAGCTACACTGGTGTTGGAGACAAGGATCTACTTCTCTTGATTGGTGATTGTGTCTTCTGGTCGCGCAGCCTGCTGACGGAGTGTCAAATCAGACCTCTGAGTGGCCTCCATTCCGATTGACAGGAATCTGACCCCGATATTGCAGACTCATTTCATATACATGATGCAGTCCCATGACCGTAGTTGATCATATTCTGCATCCATCGTCTATAGAGGTATTGAACTACCCTGAACGAATGCTTTTAGGTGTCCATTAACTCTGGCAAGCGTTTGGTGTCTGACCTCCTCCTGCTTGAAGAATGCCGCACTTCAATGTGTTAGCACTCACCAATATAGCATGCGTATACATATTTGCTTGTGCTGTAGACGGCGTTGTTCGGTGCGGTAAAGCGTGCTGATCGTTCTCTAGTATGGCGTAGCCACCAACAGGCCGTCCGGTTGGTGGCAGATGTAGATATCTAAGAGAAGGAGACTATCCTCCATTTCCTCCTCCATTGCAGACTAAAGGTCAGCCGTGGATTCAGTCAGTCTTTATTGAAGGCAACCTTTTTCCGATCAGTAATGACAAAGACGTTGCCAAAGTAGCGCCCACAACATTTGGAGTTGTTCTTCTATAAAATCCCTTTTTTGAGATTTTGGAGGACCTCCAGATCAGCAGGCGCGGTGAAATAATTACGGTGCTCCTGATTTGCACATATATGATCTGGTCGAAGGTGGAGAATATACTAAAACACTGCACTACGAAGCTTGCTGATCCTGAGTTGTGGGATGGTCGTCGTTCTCAACGTAGCTTTGACGCAACAGACCACCGAGTGTATAGACTGTGAGTTTCCGTTGTGAAATGGAACGACGCCACCCTCTCACTCAATTAATTGTGGCCGTCGTCATGCTACTCATGAATTGGGTAAACTTTAGTCTGTGAGCCCATACGCAAGACCCTCAGCTTCTGAACCAACCAGTTACCACGTCCTAACGTGACCGTCTCCCGAAGTTATACCATTGGTCAAAGAGGGCAAAGAATCCCACTACATGTTTCCGTGGCCTTTATCACATAGCAGTCTTTGGTGTTGACGACTATCCTTTTTTGGGCCAACAAGATTTCTTGTGTTCTTCGTGAGTAACGATATCTGAGCGACGACACTACCATTTCCATAATATATTAGATAGTCCAGGAGTACCAGGGAGTCGTTCCAGTAATTCGCCTTGTCCATGCCAACAGTGAACCGACCCTTGTCAGCAAGCATAATAACTTTTAACTGACAAATTTATCCAAAATTAATAATATTAACTTGGAGCAAAGCCTTTCGACAAATACTTCCAACCTCGGTCAACTAGGGAAGAATAACTAATTCGGGACCAACCTTTAACGCCTTAATTAGAAGCACGTGGACATTCCATTGTGGCCTGAATGACAAGAAGACATGGTGTCGAGTGTCCTTTGAGCGACCACTTTGACGTAGCACAGACCCGAAAAAACGAAGAAGACCACGTCAGCGTCTGTCATACCAAAATTCAATCCACGTTGCCGATTCTCTTTTGGAGTCCTAGTAAATCATTTCTGCTAGAGATTGTGAGCCATTGTTTGTTCATCCTCCGAGACTGGGCAGTTTTCAATGTTCAAGACGTTACCGACGGGTCTGCAATCCTGTTTACATATTTCTAGCGTTCCAGTAATGCATATTGACCCAACTATGAAAAACTCGGCGCCTCGGTGGGATTCGAACCCACGCAGTAAGGGGAAGGCTTTAGCGCAGCCAACGCTCTAACCACCTGAGCTACGAGGCCCCGCCGGACGACGCGAGTTTAATCACATTTGGGTCAAGTTACCCGCCCAACCTACTGCAACGTCTGGAATCCACCAAATCTGATACAGTAAGTTGACTGCCCAAGCAGGATTTCCTAAGTAATTCACCTAGAATCCACCAGATGACTACCAGGCTCGCGTAATTCATTGAAATTTTGGCAGATTTTGAATAATTCATATTGACCCTACTTTGAAAAACTCGGCGCCGAGTTTTTCACAGTTGGGTCAATATGAATTATTCAAAATCTGCCAAAATATCAATGAGTTCCAGTAATGCTCAAATTTCCTTCATTCTGTGTCAGTCGCGGCTCGTCACAATGACGTACAATAAACTCCTTCAGGTTTTGAACGCCGTATGAGTATTTTTTTAACCGACGACAATCACATGTGATCCTTCGGCTATGTCGGAAAATGGTTCACCTTGTCAATCCTGTGTTTACCTGAATTTTGTGAGGATGAGCCAGTCGACTGGATCTTACGACCAAACTTCATATCAATGGCTGTGAAAATTGCAATTCCTAAAAAGCACATCAGGAGGAGTGGAGTTCACCGGGGAGGGGGTGGATGAAGGCGTTCACTGGCGTCTTGATGTCTCGAACAGAGATCTGGTCTACCCACTCTCAGAGATTGGATAATCTTGAAGAGAATTCTCATTACGCGGTACTTGGACCGCATGCATTATGCCTCTAACTGACCAAGAAGCCGAATGTCAATGGCATCCACTTAAGGAGAAGTCTGGGTTCTTTAAGATGCTTTAGTCAGTTAGACTCCCTACAGCTGCTCCCTTGGACTATTCCTCCAGACCACGTATAATTCGTGTGGATATAGGCCGCGTCGTCATCCTCAACGCATGACCAACTCGTAAATCCTTACCATGTATATATCATCTTCGGATATCTTACTGGTGCTCGCCGCTTATCTTGCCCATTTTATTTACACCGAGGTGACTTTAAGTAGGAGTAGGAAAAAGTGCATTAAATTCGACGTTAAATCCTGTTTTCAGTACTCAGCTTTCTGTGTATTCCTACGTTCCGCCTCCCATATTTTTTGGTCTTCCACAATGTTCTCGTTTATTAAAAGGTGAAATCTACATACTTAAACACACGACAAGATAGATCTCCGTTTCCTCTCCGACGACGACTGGCGGAGAGGAGAGGTGGTTACGAGCCAGTTCGAACGTTTAACCAAACGGATACCCGTGAAGGTTAATAGGTGACCGTACGGGATCGAGCATGCTTAACGCATCAAATTTTTATTAGCCCACCCAAGGGTTGAGATGCGAGGGCATTGTTTGGGAGCTGATACATTTTCTTGGTCGACAGTTCTCCTACGTCACCTGCCTCACACTGTTCAGCAAAATATCCTTTTCCTTGTCTTTCCACATAGTACGGGAAGCGCCTTAGGATTGACGTCCCCTGCGTTACGCATAGACCGCAAGGACAGTAGGTGAATCTAGAGTCCCCAAGCGTATAGATCACCTTCAATGCCTCGGGCGAGACCGCACTTTGTAACCCCTTCCCAGTCTATGGCCGAAACCATGTCGGACACGAAATCAGCGTTGTTTACACACAACACACCCCTTCCATATCGATAGGCCTGCCCCTATCAGTCGGATGTTCCATGGTATTCATCACCTATCAGCCTTAAGTGGCCTGGCAATTCGACCGCCGCAAACGACGATCTCTACCGCGAAATGGGTGCAGCAACGGCGGTCTGCTCATGAATTATTTTCTAATAAGACGTGCCCGTGCAGCATCTACCACACTCTGTCTCTTTTCTCAGTCATCTTGCACCTGTGGCAAGACAATCCCGAGACGACCGGAGGTGTGCGCAGACGCAGTGGTTGGTAAACCTAAACTGGCCGTATGGGCGTGGTACGCACGACCTGACCCCCCACTACATGTACTAGGCTTCTTAAAGGACGAGCCCGACGTCATTTTTGTGACAATGACATAAAGGCCACATTGAGGAAGAGTCACCGCAGCCCGAGTGTCGGTCCTCCAGTAATTCCAAAATGCCCACCATGAGAACCGAGGTATTCTGTCAGTCGGTAGACATTCCAGGCCAAGACTTAGAGCGTCGTGATTGAGTCAAGCACGTCGGACTTATTACGGCGAGGAATGCATTGATTTGTCGTAGCAGATGATCCCCAGTGACAGCCTCACTCTCTTTCTCACGCACCTGCCGACTGTCCAAACTTTTCAAAAAAGTGGTGATGCGATTGGTGGCGTCACGCACACAATAGACCATGCGTGACAAAATCAGTACGAGGACGCACAACGGAACCGGAAGCAGCAGCAGCAGCAGCCTCAACACACAACACAGAGGGGTCACCACCAGTTTACCACTCCGCATCTTTTCAGAACTGTGTAAGCATCATTATGGGCCAGATTGTTTTCTAGAGAGCAGGCTTGCCGATTTGTAAAAACTCGAAGGCAGCTAATATTGGAATGGCATTTCCCGAAGTTTCCCCGCATCATTAAAATATATCATCTTCTCGAACTTGGTATTTATCAAGGATGGAACGGTAAGAGGCCCCGAAAAGGCGTCTCCGATCACGCCTCATCACATCAGTGGACAAGCTCGGACAGGGTAGACGCAGAATCAGTGGACAAAATACCATAGGAGCACTAGGGTAGGTGGGTTAACTCATGAAATGCCAACCGAAATTCCGAAATGCGTTTTCGTTTCGAAAAGATTAATTAAGTAGGGTTGTAATACCGATCACATTGCAGCATAATTCTATAATAACTCAGTTACTCCAAAATGTCGGCTTTCGAATGAACGTCCTTCCGCCTGCAGGCAAAAACCAGACTGTAAGAAATGACTACTTATGTAGCATGAATTTTTCTCACTGATTTTCGATGCTCCCTAAATGTCCACTTATATTAAATGGAAAATATGCATAAAACCTTTCATTCTTTTGCTCATTTGATACACAATTACGTCTTCTGCCAATCTTATACTCGAAGGACGGGTATAATTCGGTTTTCAAAGACTTTTCCAATTCCTGAATAATTATGAACCCGCTCTAGCGTTACACTTGAATTCAGGGTTTCCAAACTACAAGCCATCTACTTTCTGCGTACGGAAAGCCACACATTCCTCTACGGCACTAAAGGGGAACCATATAGGGTTTATAAAATTTAACAATGGATTTGACCCACATTGTTAACTTTACAAGCCACACTGATAAATGCAGAGACATGACGATTTTTGAACGGCCATTTCAATTTATTTAAAAGTCCCACAATAAGAAACTTTTAAAACCGAATTATGTCCCTCCTTCGAGTTTAAAGTTAGAAGACGTAAGTATCTACCGAATGAGCAAAAGAATGAATATTTTTATGCGTGTTTTCCATGAAATATAATTGGACTGTTAGTGGCATCTAAACTCAATGAGAAAGATCATGATACTTGAGTAGTCAGTGTTTTACAGTGTAGTCTTTGCATGCAGTCGGAAGGAAGTTCATTCGAAAGCTGGCATCCTGAGGTAACTGAAATATTATAGAATTTTTTTGCAGGCTGACCAGTTTCACAACCCTACTTAATTAATCTTTTCGAAACGAAAACTCATTTCGGAATTTCGATTGACATTTCATGAGTTAGCCCACCTACTGTACTTCAGTGCGGCACACAAATATGACCTTATCACTGCGTACTTATCAAGACTCAGCGAGTTAACGGAATTCGCTAAAAACGTGCTACATTAAGCAGTCTTCTTCTTCTTCTTCTTCTTCTTCTTCTACAACCAGAGAAATTCGATTTGGCAGCCTCGCCAGTGCGGCCTCATTTGCATGTACCCAAGCATCTGATGCTTTTGACGAGCCCGACTTACATATTTGTTAAATGCGGTAAGAAAGCGCTGCATTCAAAAGTCCACAAAAAACAGTCATTTCGTGTCAAACTGCTCAAGCAGTCGAATACACAATCTGCAGAAGCAATCTTAACAAATAATCTAGGCGACTGCATTCTCAACAAGTGAATCGCTAATTGTATGACCGAAAAGAAAATAGACCTGACGGAGGCTGAAACACTTTTATCAATAGCCATCGAACTTAGTGTTAAATTCTGAACACAGCGTGGGGTTACTGAAAGTTAACTTCGTGGACGTCACAAATCAGTCTCAAACTGTCTACGTGAATCATAGTTCACCGTTGACTAAAGTACACCCTTCACTTTTAAAGAATCTACGGAAGAATATTGAAACGCTTAACTCAAAACCTGGCATAAGATGCTCTCGTTCGCCTCGTTCCAACCTCCGCTCCAGCAGCTCGCCACCGTACAATCGGACTCTGCTTCGTTGGTTCCAATGCTGGATGGGCCCTATGTTCGCGACCTCCCATGGCCTAACACTTTACATAACATGGAGGCCCGCATGTCATGAAGGCTGCTATGCAGAACTGTAGACCAGTAGAATTTCCTGTTTGTTCAAAATGCAGATTATCCCTCCCAGCCTTATCTTCATAAATCCCGACATGCAATAATAGGCGACCTCGTAAACGAAATTCTGGCCCAGTTAGACGAGGTAAATTTCGGTATACATAGAATCCGTTTCTGGCCTCCAGTATGTGATCAGAGCAAACATCTGAGTCAACTAACAGGGGTTTACTGCACAACAAAAGACACTTATTCTTTTGTGACAACTTGCATCACCCGAACACATGAAACAAGCCTGTGATTTCATTGGGTTATAAACTTACCGACTAATGAACCCATGGAGACAATACACGAGCACGCATGTGAAACGTGCTTAGATCCTAGACAGTTGCGTGAGCTGGTCCATTTAAGCATAAGCAGTGTCTATATTGCTCACAACTGATATCCGTGCGGACAAGTCGATAGGTTAGTCATAGACAGTTCATAAACCCAATATTATTAGACATTTTGAATCAATCTTCGTACTGAAATCGCCACAAGGTTAAAAACCCTGGATACTTTGGCAGCCTAGAACTTTCTTCCCTTAGAGACAATCTAGTGACTAACCGATCGGAATGGGAAGGATAGAGTAGGTCTTCGGCTAGCTAACTCGATGGTCGGATATCGTTGTTCCGCCTCTCCGAGCCGAGACGACTGATGAAGCGGGGGGTAGAAACACAGTCCAGGGCGACGAGACACTGATATCGCATTCGCCACCAAAAACGACATCGTGAGACTGCTGTTCGACCTCCGCAAGGCATGAACAAACGTGTCATGACAATGCGCATACCACATCCTGCACAGCGCCAGGCCCAACGTCGTGTAGGCCCAGATGTAGGAAAAGCTCTGCGCACCCTCTGGTGACTGACCGCACTTGGTGATGTTGATGCTCGCACAATTACATACCACATTATCTGGGAGGGTCTGTTAGGTTGTCACGGAGTCGGAAACTACATTAACAGTGATGTTCTTCTCCCGCAAGCCCACGCAGAGCACAATTTCACCATCACAATCACCTTCTGCACCGGAAGAAGACAGCGTGGACGCACATTCACTCGCGCCCCTGCTAACTGCTGGACTACATCTTCGTCAGGAGCACGTCAGGACCAGCACGATGTATGCTGCAGCACGGTGTGTGCTACAGCATGCTAAACTGGGCGCCCTGTTGTCTCAAGGATAAGGCGGCGACTGCAACCCCGGAGACCGCCAAAAGGCAAGAAAACAGTAGATAAGTCGAGTATTGTAACATTTAATGCGGTTGAACGCCCAATGAATTTTAGGAATCGCATGAACATCAGTCTGAAATGGCTGCACATTCTGAGTGAGGACGTTAACGTCGAGACTAGAGTGAAGAACTTGCATTAAAATACATCTTCAACTGCTGCAGCAAACTTCGAATACACGCACACTTATTATCTAATCGACAACGAAAAAGAACCAGTGACCAATGCCAAAAGGCCACCATTTTCGGTACCAAACCTTTTCTGCGGTAGAGGTCGAATGAGATGCAAAATCGACTGGATGACCCATACGATCGAAAAATCCAAGGATAAACAGGTTGCAGCGAAATAGATAACTTCTCTGCGATCATAACAGCAGTCGTAGCCATCAAATCAAGGGGACCGCTCGGATGGCGCAACCTACTATAGGAAAAACAGCAAATTATTGAGCACCGGAACGAACCCCGCGAGGAAGCTATCGATAAGCTTCAGGTGGGTATCAGTACCGACGTCAAGCGTCCATCTTCCCTACAGGAGATTAGCAGAGCAGTGCAAAAGATGCCCAGCCGAAAATTTCACGGTGCTGAATCGATTTCTGCCTAAATCAACGAAAACGGCGGCCTTCAAATTATAGGCAAACTTTCCTTATTCCTCCAGGAGATATAGCGACAAGGAAAGATCCCCCAAGGCTTCAAATAAGTAACAATCGGAATAAACACAACGGCAGCCAATAAATCTGTAATAAAAACTAGTACATATCTATCCTCAGTATTTGTGGCATGACATTCGTCCGCATGTTACTCAGTGGTCTGATCGAATTCGAAGCAGGGACTCCTTTCAAAAACACAGTCAGAATCTCACAATAAACGCGGAACGACCGACATTGTCATCGCAGCCCACAAACTGTAAGAAAGGTGTAAAGAAATGCCGACGAACCTCTATGTCACATTCAAATACCTACCGAAGGCCTTTAGAACAGCGAACCGCGATGGACTCTGAAAAATCATGTTGTAATTTGGGTGTTCGGAAAAATCCTAGCAAATGGCACGATCGAATGATGATACGTCTCAAGGACAGGGGAGTAGATAATACGAATGAAGAATTCACGGGATGTGATTTGTTAATGTCAACACGATGGACAATAATATGTACATCTCAGGTGTGGCCAAGTGAACTGGAGGACTAACAGGTGTATGACGGGCGCTGAGAGGAGGCTTTCATATCAAGCTTACTACTACGTTAGATCTCATCATCTGTCGACTGGTACATGAGAGGGAGAAGAATGAGACCAACACTATAATAAACAATGAAAAACCTGGTGCGCATGATTCTAGCATGGCGCGCTGTAAGTTGTAATTTGAAAGACTCCCAGCTAGCGGGATGGCCCAGCCCCCTTTTAGAATGATCTCTAGACTGTAATGGCGCCTTCGCAGTGCGGCCTTCATGATACCGCTAACCTCTGCAAGATACGCCACTCTAGTCTTGGTGTCTAATCTCGTTTCCTGCAGGTGTGTCTCGGACGAGCCAGCAGTGTTTGAGAGAGGAAAGAGGGAGTGAGGTCTATCCAGCTCGAATTCAGCATCTCAACTTCTTACCACAGGTTGATTAGCGCGACGCGTTACCCACAACGGCTTGGATGATTGCCAACTGACGGGATAATCCGTTGACGGAAGCCAATGACTCTATGCCGGGTGCGGCCCTTATGACGTCCACATCTTAATCAGGTTCGTCGCCCCGTGAATGAAACCAGGCAGGTGTGAAGCTAGGGCCCGGATCATGTGTAGCAGGTGTTGACGGGGTTTTTGGCCTCGTCAGTCACTGCGTCCACGCCCACCCTCAATTGTCTTGGACTTAACTTTTCGTAAAACTCCGGGCGGGGGGGGGGTGAGGGTGGATGTGAGAAAAGAGAATGTGGTGGATTCAGTGAAAAACGCTCTTATCGTAAATCGATCGGATGTGGTTATGTAGCCCGCCTGAAGTAAACAAACCCCAGTCGCCCCCTAATAGGGGACCGGTAGTAATAGAGGTTTTTACAGATGGGGCCGGGAACGTACAGGAGACGGGGTCAAGTAGTTGTGTCCAATAGAAAAGCTGTTGGGAATGCGCGGTTGTACTTTGAATGGTTAAGAAGTAGTTGCGCTAACCCCTAACCCTAACCCCTAATCTTAAACCCTAACCATTCACTGCTAACCCTTAACCCCAACCCCAACAGTACTGTGTCTATCGGGTGGGGCTACCAAAACACATCTTACCCGTAAATCATTTCAGGCGAAGGTCACTTTTACGGTCACCTTGTGAGGTGACAGGGGGGCTTGTCATTTGCCATGGTCGGACATTCAGCAGTCTGCTGTCTTTACTTGCTGACTGAGTGTGTCCGAGGGCTTTACATCGTAGCGAGCGTGCAGTGCGGCGTATGTGCGTGAATGGCTGTGACTGACCGTGTGCGCATCAGTTGAGTGAGTCACACAGCGCAGTAAGCGAATCCGTGAGCCTTCTTAATGAAAGTTGACGGCCTAGACACATCAAGGCCTCCAGCAAAGTTGTCTTGCGCCATTTTAACAGTCGGCTACACTGTCGCCCGATAAGTGTTGCTGACCCCGGCAGTGAAAATGACTCCGAACAGGCAGAACTCACATTACGCGTTATCAGATAAGCTCGACTTGAAATGAAGCATAGTGTTGACCGTCTCTGAAGAGTTCTTAATTGGAACCAACAGACTCGGCTGAAGCGTGCTCTTTCGAATATCCCCCTCAGGAGGTGACATACCACGACGGGTCCTATCACAGATATTAAAAATTTGGCTGCGCGACCTGATTGGATGGCTGAGCGAGTGTTGTTCCTCTATGTGACCATCCGAAATTGGGGAAGTGAACCCTAAGGATATAGGTTATGTGCCGCACGACCGCTAAATCAGTTGAAATATGGATCACATTTCAGCCCACTGTATGAATGCCCGAGAAGCATTGCTTCTCGAACATTCATACAGTGGGCTGAAATGTGATCCATATTTCAACTGATTTAGCGGTCGTTACCTGTGCTCTGTTTTTATTTTTCAAGTAAGTACCAACATACTATTGATATCGGCCAACGGCATTACATTTACAACGTTAAAGTAATAGGGCATTCTGGTTTCAGACCGCGGTGACTAAAAATATCTGGTCCATGTAAAGCAGAAGCAGTTGCCCTGTACAGGCGCACTGAGCAAAAAAGAATTTCGGCGTGCTGGGAGTTCTTTGTGGCAAACGGCGAGCCAATGGATCCTGTTGACATTAGGACTGGTATGTTTGAGTTTGTTTGTCTTGAAGTTATTGGTCAAAGACACGGTTGAACGAAAACTGCTCTCTCTTCGCCTTATCACCTATCTATGCTGAATGCTTCAAAGCAGTCGATAGTTAACATTAGACTTGAAGGCCAAAAAGACTTATTGCCAGCACATCAAGAACGGGGCCTTGAGTCGGGGTTTTACATTTCAATAGTCTGCAGTCTTCTGCCATGCGCCAGATTGCAACCTTAATCCTCAGTCAGCTTCCAAGTAATCCTAAATTATTAAGAAAGAATTATACTTTAGGAGGCACTAATGTCGCAGAAATGTTAATGGTTTTCGGATGGGTCCAGCAATTTAAGCTATGACAGTTAAGCCTGACTGTTCGACCGTCGCGTCCGACGATGCTCACCGAGTGCTCCACAGCAAGGTGAAACAGGCCCGGCGACTTGCTCGGGAATTAGTTCATAAACTTGCGCTGAATCTACCGTACTCCCTCCTCCTCCCCCAACTGAGCCCGGTGTCAAGACAAAGTCAAGAAGACCGGAGACAGTGGAGGGCGCGGGTGGATAGCGCGGCCGAGCCCGCACCTTGGTGCTCCACTGCACAGCCCCTGGTGCACACAACAATGGACCAGGGTTTTAACCAATAACAACAGCACTACGAAGGGTCGGAAGGGGAAGGATGACTGGGGCAGCCATGCTCACGACCTATATACCCAGCGGGAGCGCAAGAGCATCTGCCGGCAGGGAACCAGGCGTCAGGTAACCGACACCGCGTACCAGGCTGCGAGGGCCATGATTTGCTGATCCTGACATAGCAGACGCCTACAGAACTTTAGACAGTTAAGGCCACCAACGTGATTTCTCACCTACTATGCTAACTTACCAAAGATAGTTTGAGAAGTCTGTGATTCATCAGTAAAATTTAGGCCAGAGAAAGAGCCTAGGAAGTTTGCTAGTCACACCCAAAGAGTTAGCAGATAGAAATGATGCTATGAGGTTAGAGCAAGAGATCGCAGAATAAAATGGCTGATCCTGACATTGCCACCGACGTAATTTACTTTCCTGGATGTATAAGGCCAAGAAGATGAATCCGAAGATGTCATTTCTTGAAAAAATGAAGGCAGACAGTTTGATTTGTATTCTTTGCTATCGAAAGCTAACATACTGAATGTGCAATGGAGTGATTTGGTGCGTGTGTACAACTGGGCATGGTCGTTCCAAGCAGGTCGTAACCTTCAGGTTGACCAATTACCGTCAAGTAAACGAGGCTAGTTAGAAATGTGGACGATTCATGAAGACCAAAAAGATTAATTCATGAATGTTAAAAAAGCGCCCTCCCGCTGGCGCAGTACTTTCCCAATAACCACATTAACGTCGAACCACTTATTTCGCCCTCATGATCATTTTCCACAGACCCAAACCATACAAAGTACAGCTCGCAACTGAATTTTTACCGATTCGTAATACTATATTTTGTATACTCTCTAGGCTTAGTGTATGGATTTATCACAACCAAAATGCCTCTGACAGCAATGTTGCCGTGAGTACTTGCGTCCTCACGTCACAAATTCCCTCCCCCGTCCAAGGCTTTTTCTCATTTCTGTAACACTACTTATCGCAATTGTAGATTCTGGGATATTTTTTATCCTCCTGATCCGCTTTTCAAAAGAACGTCTACACAATTTCCTTGTCTCACCCTGTGTACTGAAACAAAACTGCGCATTCAAGGCGTTCATGTTACTTAGGTTTCCTACATGAAAAAAATTAGCAAGAGTCCTCCAACCTCCTTTCTGACCACTGTTCCATAAATTATACTTTATATACATTCCATAGCCTTCCCTCAGTGGACCTTAACGACAAAAACGCTTCATGGTATGGCGTACAGAAGGTAAGCGATAGAAAACTAACCTGAGTTAGGACACCTACGACACCGTTGCCGAGAACGCTGGTTGGAAGCGTTGCCACAATCAGGACCCAAAGAGGCAAGTGCAGCAACATGGTGGCCGCTAAAATCACGAAAATCAGTCTGACAAAGACAAAAAATATGTGGGCAGCGCCCCATAGACAATGCGGCTTGGATGAAGGACAGCGTCGTCAAAGGTTCACACAGGCTTGGTTAACAGTCTTTTTGATATTTGTAGTAGAGGAAAAAGGTTCGTCAGGTATTTACGAGCTTCCTTTACTGAATGCATACGAACGGCAGCCAAAAACAACAATTATCCGGTCTGCAAATTATGGCAAGTGGCACCATGTGTCACCGACTAACACCGCCCCGGCGAAACGTCGGACACAGGGCGCACTCCAGGGTCCAGAGGCGACAACTTAAAAGACCCGCTGTCGAGAGGCTAAACCTCGAGAGCAGCCATAATAAGCAGTAAAGCAACGCGGATAAACGGGCAAGGAGACTTCAAAAGAGGAAAGATAGAAAATACAGCGGCAATGGAAGTGCTGGTCGTAATTGCAAAGTCTCAGCTGCACGGGCACGGGCAATTTGGATTGTTTTTCACTACGGACTATGCGTTCTGGCGAAAATAACACCAAAATAGCCCTGGTCTATTCGCAATTCGACCCTCGACTTAAGTGGCAAAACAGTCTTTCCCTGCGCTAATCAGACATAAAACTGAATCACAGAGAGATGTTGAAATGCGTGCTTCAAGAGCGCCACGGATGGCGGTCTACGAGAGCGATGTTAGTGCGCATGTTCGCCCTAAGTACGGTAACACCAGCAGTTTAGCAGATCTGTGGCACTTTGTGAGGCGGGTGGTAACGAAGGTCCCTCTACAGTGAATTCTGGGTGTGGTACCTTGGCTGCTGGTAGAATACGTTCTCATATGAATCCATTTCGAATAATAGCTCTTATTTTTTCCATCCCGTCATTTTGTATATGTTCTTGTAATAGAATTCACGACAATGCATGGTCAAAGAAGCATTTCCGCTTTCTTCATTTGTTGTTTAAACAGTAAACTGAAGGTTGAAGGCTAACGGGGCATCGGTAAGTGGAACTGTCTGTGAAATTAATTCGCTTTGCTCGTTCACCTCTTGCTGAAATCTGACGTTGAGGAAGTCAGTAGGGCGTTTAAAGGATTAAGTCGAAACAAGGTGGAAAGTGCAGCTTTTCTGGACCTTGCTGTAAAAGCCCATCTTCCAATGCATTTTACACGCGAGCAGCTGGTATCTGGTGAAGCATATTAAGGTGCAGACACGCTTTTGTTAAAAAGCTTGTCTGATAGAAAAAGCTTTTCGTTAGCTACAAAATGAAAGTAACTGCTTGATGTAGGAATAAATTTATTTGTTTGTATAAAGTGTGTATTCTTTCACCGAATCAATGATATATGCTACCTGCCCCTGCATCAGGAAACTACGTAAAAACACTAAAGTCCCCCTCCCCAACTATCTTCTGCCGCAAGTAATCCCAGGATGCTGCTAGAAGACATCCGTGCCAAAAATTTTAAGATGCGCAAGCATAATGCCTTAGTCGCCTTCGTCCCCAGTACATGAAACTGCATTGGTTACTTTGGCGGGAGCCCATTCCTGATTACCGTCTGTCCGCTTCAGCTTATGATACCTCGACGACCATAGACAGCTGATGCTGCGTAAGAAGTAAACAAATACTCTTTGTTTGAAATGCATTCTGCCGTGAAAACTTCGGTTTTATCTACATCGTGTCTTTATCCCATCATAGCATTCTCATGACTATGAAGGAAAGTTAACTGATGTGGGTGAGGAATGTTTGGAACAGCAAAGGTTTATACGCTCCAAACAAGATAAAACGTTGTTAGTTCATGAAATAGGAAGTTGTAACACATATGTGAGGTATGGCTAAATCAAAATTCAACAGGTAACAACGTATGTAAAAAATACGACATAACATGCCTTCCAGTAGTTGGGGGAGGCGGTTTGAAAGTCAAGCAAGAGTAACGGTCACCGATTCGCCCTTTCTTCTAAGCAGCGTAAGAGCACTTAATTTAGTCTTGGTGCTTTGGTCTACAGTCCTCGTAGGTAGTCGAATGACAATAAAAAATAGCCGGCAAATACTGTACAAAAGACGGCGGAGACCGGACACGGTGGTTTTAGTGGATGCACCATCGTCAGCTAGGCATGTGCCAGTTTGGCATGTCCTACGATTTGAACTAGGATCCAGTTAGTTATCGAGACCGACGCTCTATCAGCAGAGCCACGGACTCACGTTCCATCAGACGCGGTCAGGAAGTTTTATAGTCGTTCATCAGTGTCGCTCACTGAGTAGACCTCTCTGCAGGCTGAAAACCAAAGTTCTTGATTTGGCTAGAGACTCCGCGTCTGGGGTCCTCGCAGGTAGTCATATACCGACGAATGATCACTACTCGAGAGGTGATGACAAAGAAGACAAATGTGAGTGGAATCTCCATTTCCGTTATTTTCGCAGATCTCGGCCCGAAATGGTCATTACGTTCTCCTGCGTTTTTGTTGGCAGCACTTCTCTCTCGGTTGTCATTTGAGAGCATAAAACCTATTTAAGCCAAGATAAAACGGTAGTCTCCATTCCCGTCCCACAGTCAGGGCAGACCTGGCAAAACAAGCGTCTTCGGTCTGAGACTGGGTCTTGACTAGCCAATGGCAACAAACCAGGATTAAGTACTCTGAACTCCCATGCCTGCGTCGGCAAAACTTCTCTAATTTTTGAATTTCAAAAGTGTCAAATCTATCCATTCGAAGTGACAATTATTGTAAACTTCTAGGCTGTAATGTCCCATCTCAAAACTGAGTCTATCGGCAGGATGCCTGCAAACGGGTTTCAGATGCCATTAGGATTAACTTTCTTAGAGAACATTAAACAAATCAAAACAGCAACGTGCTATGCCTAACTCTTTTGGTAATAGTCAGCATAATTCATTTTCGCGCTTGGTTTTCAGTCCTATAAAATCAGTGTCAAGCATAAGAAGTACGAAAAATTGCGAGGGTATGTAGAATTCTTCGCAGGTTTGTTTTGAACCCTAAATGCACGTATGGCCCTTAGGTGTTTACCCTCTAAATATTTAGTGACATTTTTGTCATTATTCTTTTCATGGTAAAGGCGTAAGTGCTTGCAGAGCAGGATATGCCTATCGTTCACTCGATAGTTCGGAAAGCTGTGGTTTAATAGCCCACTTGCTAGACACAACACTATTTGCGTTGGGGGTTAGGGGTTAGCGCAATTGTTTCTCAACCATTGAAAGTACAACCACGCATTCCCAATAGTTTTTCTTTTGCATAAAACTGCCCGACTTCGTCGCCTATGCGTTCTCCAGCTCCACCTTTAAAAAGCCCCTATTACCACCGGTCCCGTGTTAGAGGTTACTGGGGTTTGTTGACCTCAGTTGGGGCTACCAAGCCATATCCGACCGATATCTTTTCATACCCGGCCAAAAATCTCAATTCTCTGTACTGTTACGATGAAAGCAGTAATGTAAGAAATTGACAAACAAGCATCTATTGGACTTTAAAATGGCAAAGTGGCTTATAGGCCACTATAAGCACCTTCTTATCAAAATATGGACGAACTGCACAGTTTTAGTACTAATACCATTCAAAAGGTGACGTCAACAGGTTAAATAAGGCCCATTGGAGGGCTTCTGAAACCGATAAACCTAAAATCAGATGGAATTTTCCCCAAGACGTGACAAACCGACTAATAACCCACAGTAATTATCGAATGAAACTGTGACTTAAGTTTGGAATTATGTATGAAAATATGTATGAAAAATATGTATGAAAAAATAAGTTGACTTTTTTCGCCGACCGAACTGATGCAATTTCGGATGAAGAAAAAATGCATTGGAATTTGGACAAGGAACAGAAAAACTGTCAGAAACAGAGGAAAAAGTGTTAACTCACCGTTCATGGATGTTTCGATGACAAAGCCTGTAAAGGCAATGAGCAAGGCACACCTCCGTCCATACCTGTCGGAAACGAAGCCAAGCGGGATGATGGTGAACAGACCGACGATGCCACTTACGAGACTCATTGCCGTGGCAACGAAGGCCGAGCTCGACTGCACCCATTGACCCTTATCAATATCGGTCATATTTTGGAACCTGGCCCTGACGAAACAAAATAAGTAGCTTAAGAGTCCAACGGAGTATAAAAGGCACATCTATGATTGTTGTTAAGACTGCATCAAACATAAAAACTCAGTTCGCAAAAGATACAAACTCTTCTAAACTCGCCTCTAAGATGTGAAGCCCTGCTAGGTGGACAAGAAGCAAGACCGTCCCCAAGGAACAGCAGAGTTCCATGGTTTCCTAGACAAAGCAGATTTTCAAATAAAATACCTAATCTCCCACTTGTTAACAGACTGGCCTCGCGTTGACACTGCAAAGAAGGTGGACGGTTGGCTAACTCCGCATCGACAGTACGACCGTCGATTCCGACGATGTCCACCGTGTGCACCGCAGCAGGGTGAGAGCAGGGACGGTAACCTTCGCGTGAATTAGTTTATGCTGATAGCAGACCGCTCTCTCTTCTCCTGCCCAGTGTCAAGACAGTCATGAAGACCGGAGGCGGGAAAGGATACAGGTGGCTGGCACGGCAAAAATCCGCAATTACAGTAGGTGGGCTAGCTCATGAAATGTCAACCGAAATTTCGAAGTGCGTTCTCGTTTCGAAAAGATCAATTAAGTAGGGTAGTAAAACTTGTCAGCCTGCAACATAATTCTATAATGATCCAGGTACCACAGGGTGTCGACTTTCAAATGAACTTATTTCCCACTGCAGGCAAGAACTATACTCTGCAAAAAATAACCACTTAATTAGCATGCAATTTTCTCATTGCTTTTCGACGCCCTTGAAAATTCAATTATATTTCATGGAGGACATGCATATAAATATTCATTCTTTTACTTATTCGGTAGAAAATTACGTCTTCTTCCAACTTCATACTCAAAAGAGGAGTATAATTCAGTTTCGAAAAAAGTTTCTAACTGTGAGATTTTTTAGCGTCGTGTAATGACCGTTCACAAAACGTCATGTATCTGCATTTACGAATGTGGCTTGTGAAGTTAACAATATTACTCAAATCCACTGCTTAATTTTATGAATCCTATATGGTCTCGTCTTAATACCGTAGAGAAATGCATGGTCCACCGTACAGGGAAAATATACGACTTGTAGTGTTGAAACCCTGAATGCAAGTGTAACAGCAGGTCGGGTTCAAAATTATTCGGGAATTAGAAAAGTTTTTTAAAACCGAATTATACTCTTCTTTCGAGTATAAAATCGGAAGAAGACGTGATTTTCTACCGAATGAGTAAAACAATGAATAGTTTATGTATGTGTTCCATGAAATACAATTGAATTTTCAAGGGCACCGAAAATCAATGAGGAAATTGTATGTAAATTAAGTAGTTATTTTTTCAAAAGGCAATTTGGCGATCATACGTCTGCTTTTGATAAATTCTCTTCAGGCCTGTACATTTATATGGCTATTGAAGTAATGAATTAAAAGATACGGGCAAGTAGATAATTAAGCTGTAGCTCAGGTTTGGAGAGGGGAGGGGAGGGGGGGAGGGGGAGAGCGAAACACCACAATTCCAGTCAGCGCCAGGGAGAATGTGGGTCCCGGCGAAGGTAATTACATGCGGGTGGCTGGCTTGGTGGCTTTAAAGCATGGCAACTGTGGGACCTGTTTACTTCAATAGCAATATAAATGTACAGAGAAAACCACCTATATGTGTATTTACTCCTTCACCTGCTCCCGTGGGGCAGAATATATTGGTCGCACGAGCCGGCGTTCATCCAAAAGAATGAAAGAACATCTCCCAGCATGGTTAGCAAAGGGACAAATAAAGAAAATCAACAGCTCGATCCTCGCGCACATGTTAGACACAGACCACCGTGCAGACGCCAGAGAGGCCTTCAGAGTGATTTACAAGGTCTCATCAAGCTATCAAAAAACGCTCGGGCAGCGCTTGTTGGCTACGGCAGAGGCGGCTGCAATCAGGCTACGCCGACCGGTCCTATGCGTACAGAAGAGCTTCCTACAGGTCCCACAGTTACCATGGTTCCAAGCCACCAAGCCAGCCACCCGCATGTAATTACCTTCGCCGGGATCCACCTTCTCCCTGGCGCTGACTGGAATTGTGGTGTTTCACTCTCCCCCTCCCCCCTCCCCTCCCCTCTCCAAACCCGAGCTACAGCTTAATTATCTACTTGCCCGTATCTTTTAATTCATTACCTCAATAGCCATATAAATGTACAGGCCTCAAGAGAATTTATCGAAAGCAGACGTATGCTCGCCAAATTGCCTTTTGAATTTTACAATGGGAATTTTCGAAACTATAAATAGTTATTTTTGCAAAGTGTAGTTCATGCATGCAGACGGAAGCAAGTTCATTCGAAGGCCGACACCCTGCGGTAACTGGACCATTATATAATTATGCTGCATAATGATTAGTTTTACAACCCTACTTAATTAATCTTTTCGAAACGAGAACTCATCTCGAAATTTCGGTTGACATTTCATGAGTTACCGCATCTACTGTAGACATACCACCACACCCCCTGGTCCAGGATTTTTTGCAACAACAAAACGGGACAGGTGGCTCAGATCCCAGTTGGCGCGGCGTGAGCCGACAATCGGTCTGTCGCCACAGCCCAAATGTTGACATTAATAAGGGATGCGCATCCCTGATAACACCTGCGGACTAACATCCGGTCCACTGTGTTGAGCCGTCGTATCTACTGTGTGGCCCATTTCCGGGGCGCAAGAAATAGAATATGAAACTTTCAACAGACGGTGTGCAGCCCCCAATTTACTAAACTTCAAGACTCTCCAAGGTGATATGAATATGGATTTGGTGGAGGGGCGCTCATTGATCGTATTTACGGAACTCACTCATGAGGCGGGGAGATGCTAGCTCTCAGGTGGCGGCACACTCGACGGGACCCGGCCTTATTTTCAAATTTAAAGAGGCTGAAATCCTCGCAAGGGGTGACAACCGCGTGAGCCGCGAGCTGCTCGAGTCATGGTTCTCAGGCCCGCAATCCATCAACAAGCACAATGACCTCCCGGTACCATATTCCGTGCTACGATTTCCCTGGACAGGGGAATCAGTCACGTGGGGAGGGCGCGGGCAAGCAATTATCACAGTGACAGTGAGCCAATTTGCCGAGCAATCCTCACACCTGCATCCGGCACGGATGACGAAATCACGGCCATTAACGACTCGGACTCGGACTGACAAGCCACCGCCGCATCGATCGCGACCCCAGCGGTGATTGCGAGAACTGTTAATTGCGGTACGCATAAGGTCCCACGGCAACCACGTGCTATAAATACTGCACGCCTTGTGCCACCATCACCTTTATCTGCGAATGTCTCTGATGATGGATTCGAGTGAGAATCCGAAACGTCAGGCCAATAAATTTCTTGTTCCATTGATCGCATCTTCTTCTTCTGAACTCACTCGTTCTGTTGTGCCTTACGGATTCTCTCTCGAGCCCAACCAACAGCCGTACAGCGGCGCATGATATAGGCAGAGTAGCATTACCGACAAAGACAATGGAGACTGGAATGGCCGCTTCTGGCTTATCAGCCGTCATCAGCCAGCTATATCCAACCCTGAAGTGTGGCACACCTGGGGCTCGATTAGGAGACCTGTCTAGAGACTTGTTGTTAGAGGGGCGCTCGCCGATCGTATTTACGGAACGAGTGATTTCCATTCCAGTCCCCCTTGTCTTTTTCGGTAATGCTAGCCTAGAACATGGATTTTGTCTGAAATACGGCAGCTGGCATTATTGAAGTGACAAATGACGCCACATTGGGCCGCAGCCTAAAATTGGGGGTTTTTAACTTCATACAACCGAGTGATCAAGAGATTAGGGCGGAAACACTTACTCGCTTGAAGTATTCAGGCAGAATGACTCTCCCTCGCATGGCGTAAGACCGACCACCTTGTTAAGTCTGAAATCATAAAATAGAAAAAAAACAAACATGGCTTTATGGTAAATGTTTTACATGAGGACATTAAAATGCCCTGCTCCGCTGGTTTGTAGAATCTGTCTACCAATGAAGGATTATTTTCGAGGAAATTAACACGGTTTCGAAGATGCATCCATGATGGAGAGTAACCAAATTTAACGAATGCGACATTGCAACAATGCGGAGCCCTTGACGGTCAAGCTCACCAAAGCCCCAGACGATTTGCACTGTTTTCTCAAAAAATGAAAGTTCGGAAATAACTTCCTTGAATCTGCAAATCTGTATTCCACTGTTTGTGACTGCGTTCAGCTTCATCCTAAGGTACTCATAAGCCAACGGCCTGAGATTTTACTTGCAGACGGGAGAACAAATTTTGATAATAGGAGTAGACGAATACTCGGGAACGAAAAAGCTCATAGATCCCATGCAGCAGACAAGCAATTAGGAGTTAAGCGGTTTACTTTGCGAGCACCGCGAAAGTGGTCACTTTTCTACAATGTCTGAAGGTACGCAAGCAGGCGACGGAGGCCCCCTGATTACCACCAGTTTTCAATGTTGAAGTTTGCGTTGCCCAGCATCAGTTATTTTGCGGAAGAGCTCTAAGTCACGAGGTCCATCATTCTTTTGACCAACTGAATTCTACTCCAGAGAAAAGACGCAAGACCTGGATTATTGAATCTTTATATCATCGGTAATATCATGGCAGCATCGTGAGTTTTCAAATCTACGGAAACCAAGATCATTACTGTTTCTTCGCAAAGGGAGATTTTCTTAAAGTTACTCAACCCCAATTACTTTAGAGGTAGACAGGCTTTCTGTTATATTCCAACAACTACCCCATAAAGGAATTTAAAAGTGCCTTTTTCTACTGGTTCTGTCGCATATGAAGCATAAACAAAGCCGGCAGACTGCGCGTGAACATCACATACATTGTGCTTTGGAGACATTCACCAAGTTGTGGACCGAAGGGTGTATACTGAACTGACACGTCTAAAGATTATTTCGGTCATAATTGTCTTTTTTCTGTTCCGATTTAAGCTAGAAAGAACATAGCGCAAACTGTGCACTACATTTTGCAGGTCACTTTCTCTCAGTTGATGCATAGAAAGCACCCCGACTAGACAGGATATTGTGAAATGAATGAATTTGTTTTCTTTGTAAGGTCGTGTCCTGATTGTATTTCAGTCGTCATCGGTTTCAATTTTCTAACACCAACGATCAAGGCACCCTGAGTGAGTGTTCGCCACCTCGTATCATCACGAAATTGTGAGTTAGAGCAAAAATCCGAACCAGATTACCATGAAATATTGCTGCATTGCATGTGCACTGTTTCCGTATTGTAATCAATCACTAAATGAGTACAGGAGTGTCTTTGTTGTGACACATCGATGACTCACTTCCTGATCAACAGATAGAGTTAAATATCCTCTTGACCCTTTTCGCAATTCAACGACATTAGCTTTGCTAAGTTTATACAAATGCTGGGCTTTCTCCCATAATAACCTCAACGGCTATGAGAGTGCACATTGTGCCCACGGTCTTCATCTGCTTTTCAATAAATACAAGGGATCAACGCTATTAGAGCAATCTTGAATTCATCGAAATTCGCTTAAGTAATATTAGAAAGATAAGATGAGACAGTGCATAACGCGGTAAGTGGCGGGCCAGAAAGCCATTGCTAAAAAGACCATTTAGGTCCAAGTATATGTGGAAATTCTGGCTTCCCTCCCTCAATCAGGGTAGGTCGGTGCGCGCTGCGCTCATATGACTAAGTACTTCCGATCGCAGCCGACATGGTGTGAATCCGTCAGCACAGGGATGAGAGCATCGCTAGATGGTCAGCTGCTTCAATCTTCAAATCGCGGGTGTGCAGTCAGGAATGCGCTCATCGTCGACGGCAAATAAGCAGAAATGGCCGTTCTAGTGCTCTCGCCTTTGTCGGCAGACACCGCTCAAGTAGCGTTCTGGTGTGGTCGGTAAGAGGACAAGGCATTACACTCGCTTAGCATTCAAGAGCATAACTGTTACATAATTGATTTAGAAAGTGCGAACACAAAACGAGACCGTCATAACCTTTTAAGGAATGTCTAATTTTCAAGTTAGTGTTTAAATTTGAAGATCGAGTAATACCAAGGGAGTTCCTTTGCAAATACGGAAGACAAATGTCATCTTCAGGAACATTGCCCAAACCTCACAACGCGTTTCTGACGTTTGCAAGCAATCCCTGATGCCGAATACCTTGTAAGGACTAAATTAGACTGTTAGTTAAAACCTTCTTTAGGCTGAAAGGAAGATACAATCTATGTGACTGGCCACCCGCATATATCGCTTTTTACATCGAACATCACACCATGAAGACATAGGATGACTGTTTGAGTAAAGTTAAATTGCTGAATCTTACTTTCAACCATAATTATTCGTTTGCGGTTTTATTCAAATTACCCCCCCTGGTAGCCGTAAACCTATAAAGTAGCCACGAACGGAAGTGGCAGTTCTCTGAATTCCATGGTGCAGTGGCGTAGGACGCGCAAACTAAGGACCACGCCTTTTAGCGTCAAATCAATTTACAGCGACGGAACACAAATTGCACAAGAGACGCCAGTCAGTCCCAACCAAACGATGGCAAAGAACGAACGCGCGTTGGCGCAGACACTGCAAGGACATTGATCTGTAGACATGTATAAAAAGGTAACCGCTTTGCACGTATGCTTTTCATCCGACGAAGACCTGTGGAACGCGGAAAAATTTGTTAATGACCCAAATTTATGTATTTGGTGAGAAGTTTGTTTACCGATCAGGTGGCGGAAAATGTTCGTCCCAGCGCACTTTTGGTTCGGTCTAGAGCCACCACAGTTAGTCGCAGTAATGATTCGGAATGAGTACCAATAAAGACTAGAAATGGAAATGGGTATTTTTGCCTATCAGCCGTTGTCAGTCAGGCACATTCAGCGCTCGGCTTGAATAATCTGTAATCCGTACCCAGACTATTTGCTCATTGAAAATTAAGTTCGACGCTCAGCCACTCAGCCACGGGTCCGCCGTTCGGTGGGTTACGATCTAGAAAGTTAGCCAGGTCGCGTATGCTAATGGTTTGGTCTTCGGACCAACCCTGTGAAAATTCCAAAGATTTTGGTCACATCTGGTGCAGAGCAAACGTAAATGGTGATTCGACAATCAGCACATTTTGACTTAATTTCCTGCTTGAAATTGTGAACCAAGAAATCGGAAGTCTTCCGCTAAAGCATGACTTTAATCACTCGTCGCGGATGGACAGATATCTACGACCTCCACGAACGAAACTATCACCTTTGCCCGAAAAAGCTGCTCCACGTGCCTCCTTTGGTTTCATTTAAACTTATGTGAGAAAGTACGACGTGTGCTTGCACCGCAACAGCATCGGCCTAGTTCAGATCCCTGATGCGCATAACACAAGTTACTTTAGCGTCAGCGCAGTCCACCAATGTAAGTCAAAGATCCAAAACTGTCGCCTAGTTGAACAGAATTGGCAAGCAGACGCAGCCCTGACGGATGTCGGAGACGATATTAGAGAAATAAATCTTCTTGTATTTCATAGAAACCCCGGTCATTGTCACAAAGCAGCAGACTATAATCTACGAAATTCACTTTGACGACACGTTGTCATGTCAACGTAATTAACCCCAAGAAAGTCCTGTAGAGTTTATCAGAAACAGATGCAACGTCAACGAAACAAACAACTATGAGTTAGAGAGAGATGTAGCCGTGTTTAAGGAGTAGTAGGTGCGAAAAATGTTGATAAACACATCCCCATCACCATCGGAAGCCACATTAACTCTGTCTCAAGGCAACATCGACAACCATTAAAACTTTCGCAGAAACGGCAAGGCGGCCTTTGTAACGGTAGTCCCTTAAAGCGACCTGCGCCCTATTTGTGCTTTCTGGTTAGGTCTGCTTGTTAAATTTTGTTCAGAAGTTTATGTGACCTGTTAGCTAGTAGTCTCGAACAATACATGTACGTTCTTGTAAGAAAATGTTGCTTATAGATTTTTTATTTTGAGAGTTTCCGCAAATCGTGGGCTCCAGTCGATAAGCTTGCAAAGTGTACTAAATTTACCTTCGGGAATTTCACATAATTTCTTGTGTATTTTTGTGCTTCTGGCTCATCTTTAAAATCCACGACAATCTGCCCGCATCCCTGTCCGTAAAGTTAGGTTCCAGAAATCACTAATTTTACCCATGAGTTCACATTTGCCCCGTCATTCAGAGGACTTGGTTTTATAACATGTGTGACTGGCATTCAAATCGCCGAGACAGCGGGCAAATTTTCAGCTATCAACCAGTCTGGTAGTTCAAACAGCGGACTAGTCTTTTTGGTTATGTCTGCAAACAAAATAATTTGTCTTGAAACAAATAGCGATTAGTTGAACGTTTTGGAGTAGCTTTTTTCGCCCAGCAATAGAGTACATCAGGTATTACCGTAATGCCTATTCATAACTGCAGTTGTTTCTCATAGCTTTTTTTACATGGCATTAAAAAGTTAGATTAATAAATGCGTGCCTTTGGACGACGCACCACCAGAAATTTTCTTAAAAGTTGCAGCCAGGAATAATTTAAAGAAAGATCATCAGCCGGAATAGTTTCTCTTATTTTGTGCACTAAAAACATGAAGCATGGCAGCGGTAATCATATTTTCAACCCAGCACTCTGGGGACAGAATAAAGCCATCCGGACTTTGTCTAAGTTAATGCGACAAATCAATTTGAAACACCAAAGAAAGCCCAGGACTGGGTATTTTGGATCCTCGACATCGCATATGTTCACTGAAATGCATCCGGGTGATCACGGGAACGCTCTGCTGCCAGTGTCGGCCATCGCACATACATATGTAATACTGTGGTTTGACAGTGAACTATATCTATATAAGTACAGAGTTAATTCGGCGATTAAAAATGAGCGCGAAGTGTTTTGGAATAAATCAATGACAGGATATATTATCCATATTTTCTTACTTCGAAAATGGTTACACTTTCATTGTCGAAGTAAGAAAATATGGATAATATATCCTGGCATTTATGCATTCCAAAACACTTTTTACTCATTTTTAATCGGTAAATGAAAATAATTTGAACGAGATTCCGTTTATGTTCGAACTAAACTACTGATTTTATACCATAGTAAATAACACGCCTTGTTTTGTTTGTCCAGGAACACTCCGCTAACTCGTAAATATTAGGTAAATAACGTTCCTACAAACACAATTTTTAAGGAATTAAAAGAAATAAAAACATATTAGAAACCCGAAAGCTGGGACGTCAAGGCATAGTGTACAAGATAACCGTGCCAATGGAAATGTCGATTGTACGCGCTGTTGTTTCTTACGGTGTCCTGAGCAATTGCATTTGTAATCGCACACAGATATTTCGATAACGCTAGCCGTTTATGGATTCCGCAAGCGCGAAAGTCACCAGTCCATGCTTATTCGATATGTCCCTGCCAGCACATTGCCCCTTCATAGGCGGGGCTGGAAGGGGCTGGGTGGGGCCAGAGCCCCGCCTGCCAGCACATGGCTCCTTAATAAGCGGGGCTGGAGGGGGCTGGGCGGGGCCAGAGCCCCCTCTGGATTGAAGCCTTTTGAAGCGTATTTGCATCGAAAGATATGTTCCAAAAGCACCACTTATTGTACCTTCTTTGGAATTTAAAGGAGCTAATTTATCAAAATTGTCTTATAAACCATGGAGAAAGCATCCGTTTACGCCCACTGAGTGTAGCTGCGGATGAGCACAATATATTGAGGTTTTGTTTAAGTCCCTCATTGCTTAAACTCTTATTTGTCCACCGGTTTACAATCTGTGTGTGTTATTAATTCGTATATTTGACAATGGGGACGATATTTTAAAGTGTTGCCAAAAGTGGGCTGGGATGTGGCGTCCCCTGCGCACTTTTTTTCGCTGGCGGGGCTAGGCGGGGCTATCGCGTTGCATGCCCCGCCACAGCCCCCTCCACAGCCCCGCCTAGCCCCCTCATAGCCCCCTCTAGCCCCGCCATTATTGAGGGGGCCAGGCGGGGCTAGGCGGGGCTGGTGCTGGCAGGGGTGTTTGCCAAATGGAAACTAACGTGTCTAAAACATATGACACCCAGATTAAAAATCTGGCCCCAAGACCAAAAATGTCTAAAGTTGTGCTAGAAACAAGGCAGGAATAGAACACTATTTGTCACTAACCCATTTGACTCTTTTGGCTTCCTCAGCCTGAGCAAGCGCGTGGGAATGCTCAGATATCTAGTTGTTGCTCATCTCATAAATCATGTATGCTCTAGGAGACTCCGGTAAATGGATATCTTGTGACAACGTACATATGAGCGCAAAAACTGTGATGTAGATTGCGTATGCAGCAATTTAAGCAAACCACTAGTCTTTTAATAACTAAAAGCACACAATCAAACGTTTCTAAACGCTAAATTGCAACATGGTAATAAGTGAGTGACAAGGTACTTAAAATCTTGCGTAAGGTCCCTGCCAGCACATGGCCCCTTCATAGGCGGGGCTGGAAGGGGCTGGGTGGGGCCAGAGCCCCGCCTGCCAGCACATGGCTCCTTAATAAGCGGGGCTGGAGGGGGCTGGGCGGGGCCAGAGCCCCCTCTGGATTGAAGCCTTTTGAAGCGTATTTGCATCGAAAGATATGTTCCAAAAGCACCACTTATTGTACCTTCTTTGGAATTTAAAGGAGCTAATTTATCAAAATTGGCTTATAAACCATGGAGAAAGCATCCGTTTACGCCCACTGAATGTAGCTGCGGATGAGCACAATATATTGAGGTTTTGTTTAAGTCCCTCATTGCTTAAACTCTTATTTGTCCACCGGTTTACAATCTGCGCGTGTTATTAATTCGTATATTTGACAATGGGGACGATATTTTAAAGTGGTGCCAAAAGTGGGCTGGGATGTGGCGTCCCCTGCGCATTTTTTTTCGCTGGCGGGGCTAGGCGGGGCTATCGCGTTGCATGCCCCGCCACAGCCCCCTCCACAGCCCCGCCTAGCCCCCTCATAGCCCCCTCTAGCCCCGCCATTATTGAGGGGGCCAGGCGGGGCTAGGCGGGGCTGGTGCTGGCAGGGGTGGCGCCATACTTTATTTTTTTATACAACATTTTTCACAAACAATTTAACTCTAAAATAATTAGTGGTCCATAGTTCATCCCAATGCTCCATGTTGGTTTCTGGATTTAACATCGATTTCGTGTACATTCAAGCTTCTACAAAGTGTTGCATAACCCAGGGTCTCGGTATGGGATATATGTTAGTCAATAAAACACGACTCAGAAAAAGTCAGGCCTACTTTTCTAATGAAGACGCACTTATAATTTTCAGTCAAATGTTACGTTTGCAAACAAAAGCTTGTTTAGAATTACAGAATACACACGATAATAAATTGAATGTCGGTGTGCCTTACGCAGAAAATAAATCACAGTACGAGTCAGCTGAAATTAAAACTACAGAGCTCATGAGTGGTCATATGGGCCCAGACAGTTCGCTAGTTTTTCCGAAAGTGGAATGACCTCGATTTTGTTTAAAACCCCTTTTGAAACCAGGTTAAACAGTGTGTCGTACACCTGAACATGTATTGCGCACTCGGAGTTTCTCGAAATGTGGTTTAAATTAATAATATTTAAACCTGTAAGTGACTCGCATATGCATGAATATATAAACGTAACAGAAATCAAAGACATGAATATATGTTTTTAATTTTTTGTAAGTAGAAATCAAAACCACGGCTAGTTTTTCTAAATGCAATAAAACGTTTGAAAATTACCTGTAAACCATATATTGCATTCTGACGAACATCATGATACTAACAGTCCCGGAGCAAAAAACGCCAGTGGCAAACACGAAAAAATATATTGCTCTCTCGTTCATTATTTGGTCTAATGCTTTTAGTTGTCCAGTACAAAAATAGCCGGAGTCGATTTGAAAGTTCGTACAGTTTTTAGAGTAATAAATTAAACTATTAAAACACATTCAACATTAACTGCAGGTTTCGAGCCATTACAGTGGATGGAGATAATTGCTCTGATAAGCAGAACACATTTTGCGCGCAACTACGCAACGCAGAATACTTCCATGTTTTTCTCACATCATAACGTCTGTGGCCGACTTGCGTTTTTGAATGTTTGTTGAGCGCCAGATTAAATTGCACAAAAGTTCCCATTAAGGCATAATAGCAGCTAGGTATCCTTCAGAGACACATATAACTCATTGACTTTCTGTACTAATCGACAATGTGTAAATCTGAGACGGACGCCGAACTTCTGTGGGAGGTCTAATTAACATTATTCAAATTATGTCAAATTATGTCACTTTATTTAGGGAATCTGACCTTTGCTCCTCCACTCGTTGATAATATACGGAAAAACAACAGTATCTTTGTCTACGATAGTGATGTTGGAAAGTGTATAGTCAAGAACAGGGTGCAGGGATGACACAGTAAATCACCCATATGTAGGAGCTGCCACCAATGATGCAATCATGAGTCATGTATAGTCGTCACCCAAGCAATGAGCATCCAGTCCGCAGTTAAAAAACTCAAAAGCATCTAAAACAACCACGGAAGCAGGGAGTCCGTTCTTGGCTCTAACGTCCTCTGCCGTTAGGGCATACTGTCGGACTTCCGGTTGACGTCCTCTGCAATTTAGATGGATAATAATTCGGCCCATCTCTTTCAGCCGATTCGACGGAACCATTGATTTCCAGGGCACACCTACAGCCTCTAACAATTGACCATGTTTGTGTTTTATCACGGCGCAGTTGCATGTATTTTAGAGGAAACAAAATTACTTCAGTCCCGCTCATTTTGCAGAACTACCGGGCAAGGTTCTTTACTAATACCACAGCTCTCGTCCACACTCTTTCCAAAAGTTAGTAATCCTACTCGAGTCGCGGATTCCAGGTCTGAGGGGCATACTGCAGGTGGGATCAAAGAGTCCCCACAGGTTTTACCGAAAATATCAGGCCAGTTTGCACGAACACTCGTTTTAGTGTGAATGGCACTTGCGTCGCGCGTTTAAGTGTCTTTAAGCACCCTTACTTCGCTTTGGGCAATGGGGACACTAGAACGCTGGGCTCCTTTTGTTTTTCGACAAGTTGGTATCGGAGAAAATAGTTTTCCTCTGTGATCCTTTTTGAAGGGAGTTTTCGTACCACACATTTACCTACGCTCGACTTTATGAATCAAGAAACAGACGAACTGCTAAATCGGTTAAGAATAACTTGAAGTGAGTGTCTTTCTACGTTAGATCCAACGGCTTCCCCAGATTTTGACGTCACCAGCCAACGCGATAGCGCTGCAGATCAGGTTGTCGACTCAGTACGTGGTGAAATATCAGAAGAGTAAAGGCCTGAAAATTAGTTCAACGAGACATCCTTTAAAACAGTGATATGGGTTAAGTTCGAGGCATCAATACTTAGGGTCTAAAATCACTCTGTAAGAAACACTGTGATACGTGCTAATTCCAACTTTTTTTAGCATGCAAAGGCAATGTTTGCGTGGAACACTGTTAAGCGCCCAATAAACTCATTGTAGATGATTACCTCTTCCAGCACACAGCCGAAACAGCCACCTACAACTTAAGAGTGGTTCTGCCTGTTGAGGCTTTAAGAGTAAGCGATTTTACTCCAGGAGCCTCATTGTCGTTTTCTTGACTATGGTTCCCAGTGTTTCACAGCAGATGCAGGCTAGACTGTGGGCAAGATTTTTTTCACATTGGTTCTAGTCCCAAGCAGATATTTTCTACATTTGGCTCGATTGACAGTCTCCATAATTTAGATGTTCAGTGGACTGTATTCGCCAGGGTTTTCGAGAGCTCGTTTTTTAATTCGTGTAAGAACTTTGTCGGTATATCGTCCGGACCCAGCGACTTAGCTTCCTTGGGATTCTGCAACCGTCTGCAACAGCCGCGGGAGGCGTATGGATCCAAGCACTGCGCTGCTGTTTTTAACATGACTGTTGACAGTGCAAGTATAAAACATGGAGTGAAGTCAAATGCGATGATGACGCAGAGAAGTTGCAGTCGAACATCAACAAACTGTGTGCTTGTTCGAACAGATGGCTTTCGAAGTTTAACGTGTCCAGATGCGTGGTTTTGCACCTGAACACCGGCCGCAATGCCTCTCCCAAACACCAGTACTATATTGACGGGACGAGGTTAGAAACTGTGGAAAGACACAGAGATCTGGGTGTATGGACGACCACAAATCTATCGCCATCAGAACACTGTAGAAAGATGGTCCAGAAGGCAACTAGTACTCTACATTGGATCAGACGTGCATTTAAAATATTTCCTCCCGAACTTTTCGAAAGACTCTTTGGTGTCTTTGTAAGACCTCATCTAGAGTATGGAATGCCAGCAGCCTCACCATGGATGAGGAAGGATCTCAACTTACTCGAACAGGTGCAACGCAGAGCGACAAAGATGGTCGACGGTCTGAAGTATTTGTCTTATCAGGAGAGGCTGAATTTGCTTGGCCTATTCCCTCTCTCTTATAGACAAATAAACTGCAGTCTACTCTGGACCATCCGGATTGTTCGCGGCCAGGGTTGCTCATTAAGAGCAGAGGACTTCTTTGAGTTCGCCCGTACAAACCAACTACGCGGCCATGCATACAAAGTCGGGAATGAGCGCACGCGTTTAGACCGACGAAAATTTTCATTCAGCCAGCGGGTTGTCAGACTGTGGAACTCGCTTCCAAGCGAGATGGTGACGGCTGACACAGTTTGTGTGTTTAAAAGAAAACTTGCTCGTCTAATTTTCGACAGAAATCGGCTTGTACAGCATGACTATGCACAGCCAGTTTTGTAAAATCTGTCATATACAATCTTCCGCACTAATTTACAGAGACCCCATGCACTACCTTATGATTACGATTGAACTGTGACTCAATCACATTTTAAATGCCTGCAATTTAATTTTAATTTTATTTTTGAGTATGAATCTGCGAAAGCACTGTACATAAATAGGGTCATCAAGGGCTCTGCCTGTAACCCTTCAATATACATATACATACATATATACATACGAATGCAGAGACAAAATTGTCCCGAGCATTCGGCTTTCTCGACGCTGTCATCCATAGGCAATGTGACAGAATACTTGTTTTTTATAATCGCTTGTCGATATACGTAAATAAATTTCTAGGTTCCTTTTCAGCCCTCCTCTTCTTGCGGAATGGCACTACCGACAAATACAAAAGAGACTTAAATGGCCACTTCTGGCCTATTAGCCGTCGTCAGCCAGTCATTCCAAACCCAGTGGGGTGGCCGGTCGATATTTACCAGACAAGTGATGCAAATCCCGGAAACGACAATACTTAGTGGTGCACATTCACACCGTGGGTTGGGTGGCAGCCAACTGCCGATAAGTTAAGAAGAACAAGTCCACCAATGCGGCCCCTTGCTGGTAGTCTCCTGGTTCAAAACTTCTCCTCTCGTCATTTCATGCAGCAATAGCTTGCAGTTTTGTCCTATGATGCTTATTCCAACACGAGAGATGCTCGACAAGAAGACTTTATCGTACCCCTCGAATCGGCGCCCCAGAAGTGTGAAACAAATAAAGAGTGCACAAATTCCAGACGGCAACAAGTGTCAACCCTTCTCTGACAAAAACCGCAGAGGACTATTTCCGAAGCAGAAGACCGAGAGCTTCTGAGATTTCGGATATGAGGGATATCGTCACCCTGCCCGCCGACAAGGAACATTCAGCGGTTGTCAACAAAACTGCAGTCTGTTAGAAGACGAAGGTGACTATGAGCTTTCGGAAATTGGAGAGTTCAAGAAGCACGAGAACAGCGTAAACAGGGCGACAGACGAGTTCAGGAAGACAGGAGTTCTCAAGAGAGAGGAGGCATTGGCCGCAAAAGTCACAGATGCCACCACGGAGACTCTCCGTTCCGTACTTTCCAAAATTCTGAGCTAAATTTGACGACGCAGTTATCTTAATCAAGAGGAAAGACGTTCATGACTCCAAGGTCTTGCTGAACTCAGTATTCCCCAATATCCATTTTACAATGAAGAGGAAAACACCAACCAGTTGCCCTCCTTCGACGTAAATGTTGTAAGGACGGTTAGTGGGAGGACAAATCTACGGTATACCGTGAGGAGACGTGAAGTGACCACCCTATTGGTTACAGGCGCAAGTATCTCAGAACTGTCTTCCGACGAGTTTAAAACACTGTATGACGACGACGGGAGAAAGGATGCAGTAAAATAGCTACATTTTTTTATTCACAGCCAATGGTTACACACGATCCTTCATACGTGAGTGCCAATGAAAACCTACCCGTGAACGATCTAACGATGTGAAGTCGAAGTTTTGGCTCGCGATCTCGTACATGAGGAATACTTCAGAGGCGACAGCTAGAATCCTGAACCCTTTTGGGATTGGGGTGGCCCACAAACCGGAATCCACTCTCAGGCGGCAGATAATGAAGCCCAAATGCCCGCTACCGGCAAGGGAACAATCAGTGTAATTCAGTATGTATGAGGGATATAGGCAGAGCCTTGGAAAACCCTATTTACAGATAGAGGTGTGAAAAAAACATGTAGATATTTACATAACAGTTATGACAGTCATTGATACCGTGGTCTACGGCGTAACGTGCCAAAACTGCAGTACGAGGTATGTTGGTAAAATTTTGAAACGCCTCTGCACGAGACTGCATAAGCCCCGACTTGCAGTCAATCGCGAGGATAGGCTGTCACTGTTAAATGGCCACATGCGGCAGGAGGAACGTAGTTTCGCCTTTGGGGAAGCAAGCTTCATTGGTCGAACCAATGACAAGATGGCCAGGCTGATGCTCGAAAGTTGGTCCTCGGCTGGCACAATCAACAGAGCTATCGATCTTAATCCGGCCTACCAGGCGCTACGTGCAAGGCTCCATTCAGTCCAGAGGGGGCCGACAATACTATCGAGCGATTCGCGGCCCCTCAAAAAATTGTTGCCTTCACCGCAGTGGGAAAGAGCCAGCCGGAGGTCACACGACCAGCGCCAGAGTTCGACCCACCGACGCGCCCAAACAGCCTAGCGTGATTTGCACATGCATCATCAGCTGGCCAGTTCATCCGGTTATGAGGGGAGGGCCCACAGGCACACACAGCTTGCAGCAACTACGACAGCCGGGTAGGGGACTGAGATCACGCGAGTACGCTTGAGGCCGCCCACGAAGAGGCCAAAGCCAATCCCTAGCTAAAATACAGGTCAGATTTCGTGCGTCAGGCATGCCTTCAACATAAGACAGGCGGCGAGGCAGAACAGTTCTAGGCTAGCAGGAACAGAAATCCCATCAATCTGATGATGGAAACGAGGAAGTTTCCGAAACGTCAGTACAAATACACTGTGGTCCATTGAATCGCTCCTTCTTCTTCGTCTTCTTTTGGGGAGAATGAACAGGATATACATATATATTGGAGAACGGGTACCCCGAAAATTTGATTTGAAATAGGTAAGATTTTTCGGCAACAAAATAGCCTTTACTGAGTAAATTTTCGAGATTGGTTCCCCAGCTCGTCGTCAGACTTCTGGGCTATGTACAAAAGCAGTTTTCTATTCAGCCGTGTCGAACAATTGATTCTGTAATTGATCAAAGCCTGCGCCAATGCGCGTCAATAGTATTTCCTCACTCCCTCGGCACTGGCTGCGCTCGTTTCCATTTGTCCCTAGGACATTTGAACGTGGCATCTAAATCGGTATGCCAATTGATGCATACATCGTCTGAGTGCACCGCTTCGAGGAATTCATGGCCGTTCCTTATTTGGCAGGCACCAACAATGCGAGTATTCTCCCAGGCAAATTAGTGCCCAATGTGTGCATAGCCAACTGGGATAGAATAGAATAGGTTTATTATAGCGCCCCTTGGGCACTGACAGTCTCCTCACCGCTAACTGATGCTCACATATGGTGGTTAGGACAGATTTCCCAGCCTAGCTACAACAGACGGCATCACAACTGGAACAGGGGATCTTCTAGGCAACACTTTTTCCATCGACTTAGCCAACCCTGTCATTAGGGTTTACAAGCTGTGCACGCAAGGAGGTTGTAGGTTGGTGTGCTATTTATATCGGATATTTTTTTCAGCTGTGTTTTTGACGAGCTCTGATACATTTTTACATACGGGAGAGTCCGTCAGGCGAATGTTTTTGGTGCCTGGGTGGCCGTAGTGATCGAAACACCTTTCTGTTTAACCTAATGCTTCATGCAATGACGTATGAAGTCACGCAGTACCCGATATTTCACTTCTGTTTGGTAACTTTCTTCATCGGAGCAATGTGTTTTGGCTCGGTTTAACAGGCCGTAGGCGGTATTCCTCTTGTGAAAGAGGTAATGGTTACTCATAAAATGTAGTATGACCTCTGAGTATGTTTCTCTGTGATAAAGTGAAGCGTGAAGGGATCCGTCCATCGTGCAAGGACGTCCAGAAATGGGAGCTTTCCATCCACCTCCGTCCCGAAAGTGAATTTGATTCGGGGGAATGGGGAGTTAAGATTCGTGTGGAGCAGATCTAATATGTTTTACTTGACAATGACAAATTCGTCATCAAAATGGCGCAGTTAAAGTTTTGGGTTAATTTTAGGATGGGCTACAGATTGCAGTTTCTGCATTATGGATTCTGCTTGAAAGCCAGATGTAGGCGGATCCGTAGAGACACATTTCAGTTGCCGATAACATTGTTTGGCGAAAGAAAAGATGGTTTCTAGACAAACATCGAGTAGTTGAAGTAGAGCGTCGGCAGGCACACCAGTGGTGTAGGCCTGAGACGGACAGCGAACAACTCGAGAGCCGGCACAACGCAACGAGCTAGACGGGGAACCGGGGACGTCTCGTCCAACTTCACAGTTGTTGTCTGAAGACGTACTTCACCTTTGAAGGGACAGTGAACGAACAAGTCACAGGGACACATATTAGATCGTCGCTCTAGAAGTCCATCGCGGAGGCGGTTTTCCGAAAAGTATATGCCATATTTTTCGCAACCTGTAGACCAAAAATTTGGACTCGAGATTTTGACGATTCCTATCGTTATTGTCGTGTGGTAAATGGTTCGGGAATTCCATTACGTTCTGAATTCCGTTTTTGGACATTCAGTTCGCAGTAAGGGCGAAAAGCAACGATCCAACTGCCGCTCCTGGAGGTTTTCGCCCATCCAATAGCAAATGGAGACCAAAAACGACGACTTATGGGAACGCCACCAACAAGCCCTAACTCCTGAGTAACCACAGTAAGCACCCATTATACCACATACGCGCTTATGTGCGAATTGTCCACAGGGGGCAGAAACACAAAACATCGAGCCGAGCGACAAAGTACTGGAACTCCACTACCTCTGGAGCCTTTTCGTGGGCTCCGAGTAGCCTTACAACTTTCTCAAACGCGGCAGGCAGTCTAGATCAGGCCAAAGTTTGGTGAAAGAACAGCTGCGTCTGCCTCGTCTCCAGTCCGATAACAGGTGGAACATACCTCCGGCAGCATGTTTGCGTAGATGGACATGGCCAGTTAGCATATCAGGAATTCTTGTAGAAGACGGATGAGGACAAGCGCCTGAACAAACGAGGAGCCTCGAATTTTCGGCCATACTTGTAAGGAAATTGTTTATTTTTCGAAAATTTTTGGTTTAAGTTCATGGCACTTTTCGAAAACGACAATATACTATGCACTATCTGTCCACCAGGCCATACTAAGCCAAATCAAACTTTTTAAGCTGCCGGATTGATAGGAATTCTCTGCAGTGTATGATTGTAAGGTAGGTAGACGTGGAGACATTTTCTGTTCGCCGAGGAGGAGGAGGAAGAGGAAGAGGAGGAGGAGGAGGAGGAGGAGGAGGAGGAGGAGGAGGAGGACGAGGGCAAGGACGAGGAGGAGGAGAAGAAGGAGTCAGTCGAGTGTGACTCTAAGGATTTTACCGGGTTTGGTATCACACAAATGCGTTGAGAATGATTTTAACTGGTTCTGTTCCCCGTCTGTGACGTTAACCGGCATAACTTTACAAAGCCACATACGGCAGTTGTGTTCTAGGGTGGTGTCGACGAAGTCTTAGAATAAATCGAAAATTAGACAAATGTAAAAGTCTCATCAAAGTTAACAACGCACGTGGCGTGACGGCGCAACCGCAAAGCGAATCTTTGTCCCATAGCACTCGCTACAGTTGAAAGGGAACAACCACTACCGGTTAACTTCCAATGGACAGCACAAATTCCCGTTGCGTATGCTTCCAGTGTAGGTGGCACTGCAATAAAATTCCGATAAACGTGGTTATCTGGGTACAATACAGGATCTTATACACATAAACTTAAGGAACACTGAATTTTTTTACTTTTTGAGTTTTCGAGCTCTTGCAGGATTCCATCGTCAGAGAACAGCGCCAACAGAACGAAAGACGGTTAAAGAATGTATTAGCCAGTGAACGAGCTGCGCTGCAGGTCTGGAGGTGGATGTAAGCGGTTTTGTATGCCGGCGTCAGATCGATACATTGATTGGCCGAGATGTCATCCGAGTCCCAGGCTTCAATTAATTTTCGACCTGTCATGCTTCCTCGTGTTAATTCACCTCGTCGTCTCACAGCCAGCTTATATTCGTGTATGTGCGATTTGGGCACGCGTTCGGTCTGACCTATGTATTCACAAGGACAATTTAAACTCAAAACATCTAAGTGGGAATTAATCGGTCCCTGATTTTCATGGCCCCGGGTCTCATGGTGGCTTTACGTCGGCGCGCAGTTCCAACAACTAGTCACGCAGCAATGGACTCGGTCGCCTTTGAAACAAATGCCAGATCCTCGACGATATTTCCGTTTGGGTCCTCCGGATGTGAACACGTAGGCATTGGCTTATAAACGCTTTCGGATAGCAGGCATAGATTGGTGGCAGGGAATTGGAGACTCATGCGGTTACTCTTTGGGGTTGCAGAATTAAGCATCATGTCTTTCGAAGAGTGTTCTTATGCAGCTTCGTTTATAAACCACCGGACGGTTACCGTAAATAACTGAGAAGCTACGTGACGTTTATTGCCTTCCTGTAGACCGCTGTCTCTGTTTTGCTGTTAGGATTGTGCCGGCCGACCACACCAAGGAAAGGCAGTTATTGTTCATGTTCTTCTCGTATGCCCGGGAAGTTTGCGCTGAGTAAGTTATTTAAGCGCCTTAGCATGTCCATCCTGACAACAACAAAATTGTGATCAATATTACGACGCCAAAAGTCCGGTTCCTGCTTGATGAAAACAGTCCTTTCTAGCTGCTGTGTAGGTCACTGTTATACGAGCCTCCCATATTGTAGGTCGCCTTGTGTTGAATTCCGGTCGATTATGGTTAGGCTTGGGGTGAGGGTTAAGATGGTCAGACTTCGGAAAGGTAATGTTGGAATTAGAGGGGTTAGCGTTGGGGGTAGGGTATATAGTCAAGACAGGGAGATAGATGTGCCTCTGGAAATTTAGTTCAAGACCACCTGTAGTACGGAGGATACTTATTTCCCCGTCCGACCAGCGGCCAGATCCTAATATGCAGCCTTCTCTGAGGCAGCTCTAACCCAGTTGCCTCTAATACGAGAATGGTGGTAAGAGGGGACTCACGGGTGGGGCCATCGTAGACGCCAGAAATTGGACCGTGGAAATGCGAGAAAAGACCCGTAGAGTGAAGCACGACGAAACTCTGAATGAGGTGATAGCTAACCGCTACGCACGAATGAGCGCAAGAGATCTAGCCGCCCAATGGGAAGCGCGAAAGCAAGCCCAAGGCGTAAGTAAAGGTGTGTAGGAAAATCATCCGCAACGCAGACATGGATGCACCTAACCTAGCCACTCGCTGGATTAGAAAGAACAATGTGCACATTCGGTTTCGTAGCCTAGCACTCGCTGGATTAAATAGGAAACGCTCCTGGGGAACGCCCTGAGCCAAGCCACTCGATTCAATTTAAACACACCTACTGAAACCAAATCAGCAGGTCAACAGTATTAAGTATGCATGCGTGGCTGCATATTAAGATCTTACCCGACCAGCTCCTGTAGGACTTATTCTGCCGCTAAACTGCAAATAAGGAAGCTAATTGGTGGGCCTTTGATCCGCTCTTTGATTTCTCTCCAAAGTAGGTTTACCCGCGAAATCCGAACTGCCGCATGGGATGTTCAGTTTTTAGTAGGCTCCGATTTTCCTCGTACGCCTTCTCATTTTTTTTTCGCAAGCGTTTGCGCATCAAACTCGGTGGGATGGATGCGAACAAGGACATCACGTCGGGCGAGACCATGATTACATCTGACTGTACCATCCAATCTCAGGGGTCTGTTCACAAGGAACTGGAAGACTAGTCGAACTGAGATTCTCGAACTGCCTTGGAGGAACTTCGGATTTGCGTCCGTCTACTTTGACCTTTAGGGCAACGGTTGACGTCAGTGAGACAGTTGGTTTGTCCATCTTTGGCAGCCCAAGGGCTGACCATCTAAACAAGTCAGAAAGCACCTGCTATTTCAACTGCGTAAATTGCCCAGTTAACCGCCCCTAGATGACCAAGAAAAGGGCACGAACACGTTTAAAAGAGCATACCCTGATCATAAAACGAAAAGACGTATGGTCTTCTTGGGACCGTTCAGAATCTTGATAGTAATCTTGGATTCTCCTATATCGTGCGTTGACACCCTGGCGATTTAAAAACAGAATGTTGAATTGAAGCGCGGAAATCTGATGACAACACGATCTCTCGCAGAATCAACTCAGCAACGCCATACAAAGATGGCAGACAGCACTTTGGTGCCAAAAAGGGCCAGTGGGAAGTAAAAAAGTTAACTTTTCACGAGGTGATTAGCCTAACCACATCTGCGGAATGTCAGATGAGCAAACCAACTTTCCTTTTGATGATTACTCGAATAACAGCCGCAAACGCCCTCAAACAGTACGCTCAGAAGGATTAGGCCCAAATCAGTATATCAGTTTGCATTCTGATTACAAAAGCCGCAGGTCAATGTGGGAACGATGGCAGCCAACCTAAACGGGATGACGGTCACCGGCGTAAGCTCTTTGGCACAAACGCCTGTTTACGCAAACTCTAGGCATCGGCTGATTTTTGAAATGCATTTGAAATCTTAGCTGTTACATATGTTGTGTTTCTAATGACGATCTGATAACCAGCTTTGAAAATTCGGGGAATAAAGCCTGCTTATTTCTCAAAAAATTATTTCGGCGTAGTTTTTACAGCTTTGAATGCCTATCGATGAAGCATTTATTTATACAGCCGAGTATAGTTCTCTGTATCTACGTGCATAGTTCTATGCATGTAGACCTAGCACCTGCAAATACGAGGTAAAGTGTGGTAAAAGGTCCCCGCTTCTTTGCCGTCACCAGCCAGGGAAGGAGTGTGCATGTGCATTGTTTATATGCGATCCTGACAAAAAATAGTGTCCGCAATATTTCAGTAGCGCTTTTATTGTATTCGAGAATTCAGGCATGTAAATGTGCTATCTCATGAAATGTTAACCGAAATTGTGATATGTGTTTTCGATTAAGAGTGAATATTTAAATGATCCAAATATATTTCTGCCGCTCCACGATTTCGGCCTTTGAACGAGCTTCTTTTCGGCCGCCTGAAAAGCACACTCTCTAAAAATTTCTGTGCGTAGACAGAAATTATGTAACTCGTTGTTTGAAAACCCTGAATGTAGCTGTAACGGCTGGTCGAGCTCACAAATATTCAAAAAACTGAAATGGTTTTCTAAAACAAAATTATACGTTCGATTCGAATATAAATTTAAAGAAGACGTGCGGTTTTATCGAATGGATACAAAAAAATATTTTATGAATATTTTCCGCAAAATATATTCGAGTTTGTAAGGACATCAAAGGTCAGAAATGGAAATTCATACACCAGAGGTCAATTTCTATGGTTTTTCATCTGGGCGTCTGAAATTAACCTTCCTTGACAGCCGGTGTCCTTTTGTGACTGGAATATCTCTAGATTATGCTGTCCGATGCTTACACTAGATATGGAGTCACACGAATTATTAAAAAAATTCTCAAATGCGATTTCAGTTCGAAAAGATCACTTAACTAGAGTTGCCGTGTTAATTATCATATTGCCTAATGCTAAGACATCCATTCACGGTAGAATGCCGGCTTTCGAACGAGCTACTTGTCAGCCGCCCGCGCAAACTTCGTTTCGTAAAAAAATGACTACTTCCGTAGTATGAAGCTTCCCATTGATTTTTGACGCCTTTATAAATTGTTCCATTTTTCATAGAAAACATGCTCAAAATATTCCTTCTTTTGCTCATTTGATAGTAAACTACTTCTTTAAATTTCATACTTGAGGAACGACTCTTTGGTTTAAAAAGACCTTTGCAATTCCCAAATAATTTTAAAGCTGACCTGCCGTTCCATTTATATTTCTGGTTCCAAACTGCAAACTATGTACCTTCCTTGTAAGGAAACTCACACATTTCTATAGGCGCTCAAGAAGGGGCCATATAGGGCTCATAAAATTTTGCAGTGGATGCGGACTATCATATCGCTTTTATATGCAGCACTAATAAATGCGCTAATGCGATGTCGTATACTCGGAAATTCCATAGTCTTGAGAACTCTCACGATTAAAAACTTTTATAAAACCGAAATATGCTCTTTATTCCGGCGAAAAATTTGAAAGAAGTATAAGTTGTATTCAACCGAGTAAAAGAAAGAGTATCTTTGTGCGCATTCTCCATAAAATATATTTCAATTTATAAGGACGATGAAAATCAATAGAGAAAAATCGTACTTATTATTTAATCGTTTTCTACGGGAGGCAGTTTATGCGGGAGGCCGAAAAGGAGCCCGTTGGAAAGTCGGCATTCTGAGGTGACTGAAGATATGATATGACTGGTGAAGATATGATAATTCACGTGACAGTCCTGCTTAAATAATCTCTTAGAATTAAAAATCATTGCCTTATTTAATTTCCGAGGAAATTAATGCG